CCACGTACATACTCAAAAATGTATGTGGGACGGTAAACCATTCCTTCGAGTACCGCATGATGGCAGGACAGCTGTAAGAAGGCTCACGTCTGCCAGGCTGCCTCAGGACACCTCTTCAGGGCTGGTGTTGAGAAGCCGATCATGGAGTCTACTAACCAAGAGTTGCCTAGACACCCATGTCACTGAGGTCATGAATAGCACTGATCCCAGAAAGCATTATGGTCTCCTCCCCAGAGGTGGCAAGAGTTCCCAAGGCAGAGCTTGACAGAGGAAGATGGAGATTATGTCATTTCCCATCATGCAGCAAAGAAAACATGTCATATGAAAACCATCTCTTCCAGTGTCATGGAGAAGCCCCGATGATGAGTCTAGTGGCGTCTCCCCGAAGACAGCGTCTTCTCCAGGAGCCTCGGGGATGGATTTGATACTGAGGGTTAGTGGACCGTGTTACATACGTCACAGATAAAGCGTACGCTATACGGTCTACTATCTCTCCAAGTACCACACAGAGACGCCGAGGACAAAGGCTGAGGGCACGTCCAGAGGGCCCTCAGGGCCACTGAGCTGGTGGAAAGTCGAGTCTGGTTGGGCACAAGGCATGCATCATGCGGCAGGCACACACAAGCAGGAGTCTCATCTTCATGTCAGGATTCACACCAGCAACTCATCCCCGAAATGAACAACTCTTCCAAAAGCCCATAGAGTCTGCAAACAAATGATGCCGTGGGCCTTATTGCTACTTAAATGCCCACTGAGTGCCATAAGGATGGGGATTTGGACACAGTGGGAGTAAGGGCATGCATGGCAGGGAGCTAATGTGGGTGTGGAGGAGGGGTGCAAAATTAGGAAAGCCAAATGGCCTATATGCAACCAAAAAGATGACTTGGCTAGTTAGAGCAGGCCAAGCAAATGTATCAGGGCTTTTGAGGCCCTGTCCTATCTCCTTGTGAAACCCATTTGTAACCATAAGAGAAAGATGCCACCACAAAATGAAAATGGCGCACCTATCCCCATCAAAGGCAATTCCAGGAGTTCCTCTGAGGTTTAGTGAAAAAAAAAAGTATTACCTTCCTAAACTCAAAATCACTGTTTCATCCCCATACTTTGTACTGCCACCGCAAGCTCCAGTGCGACTGGACTGAAACTTGAGAAGAGTTTTGCACATTAGTGCAAAATGGCAGCTTCACCAGGAGTAGGGAGCGTCTTTGCAATGCTCAGAGCAGGTGGGTTCTGCTAAACAGGTAGGTTCCCCCTTGGGGGAAAACTGACTCCACGAAGCCTCCAGAACTAGCTTGCTGGGAGATGTCACACAGACATCTCTTGCATCTGTCACATGGGAAACTATGTCTTTGGGTACTATGACTAAAGGTACCAAAAGTCCCCCAGAGGGCTCACTGAGCACCCAGAAGATGTTGGTCTTGCTGCAGGTCAGATAATCAGCCATAACCACAGAAATCACACGGAGCGGTGTGAGGATGAATCGACTCTCTTCCTCGCGGTTGGTAACACCTCCGGGGTGCCCTCCGAGGATGGATTGGATACTGAGAGTTAGTGGACCATGTTACATAGGTCAAAAACATAACGCCTACGTTCCATAGTCTACCATCTCTTCAGGAACCATGGAATGGTGTTGACCCCTAGAAACCTGGGCCTCGTCCCTGAAGCTGGCGTCACTTCCAGAGAACTTTTCTGATTTAGCAGTGGGAAGCAGGTGTGGTGAACAGCACACTGTCCTTGCATGGCCGAGTAGTGCTGAAGGAGAGGCGTCATCTCCCCTCTGAGGTAGCGCATCCCATGAAGGCCATGCCAACTTGGAAAGGTGAACTGCTGTGCTAACCATGTTCTGAACTTTATGGGCTTAGCCTGTGCTCAAACAAGGGTCAACGGTCAGCTCATCTTGACCAGAAGGGACACCACAACGGCACAGATTATCGCGTGAAAGACCTCTAGGTGGTACCCACTGGGCGCACCCACACCGTGGTCATCCTTGCCGCGCACCATCAATGCGCACGCACCGCACAAACTCAGGGCTCAGAGAATCAGTACTTCACCAGCTTCTAGTAAGACCCTTCCCCTCTGTCTACACAATACTGCCACATAATGTAAATAAAACTCTGAGGCTTGACGGTCTCCAGAGAAGGCCAAGGCAGCTTCCTGTGCTTGCCTGCAGAAGAGCAAGATCACCCATCAGGTCTTGGAGGCCAGTGTCCACTGGGTCACAGCCCCGCATGCCTAATCTAAATGCTCAAGTCTTTAGAATGGTACTCAGGGCTCCAGTTTCGTCCCTGCTCCCAAGTGGGTGAGATAGTTCTCTATGCCATGTGGTCCTGTGCTCAGTCTACTCCACACTGGCCAGAGCATCACTGCTTACATCATCCTCAAATCCAACACCAGGCTGCCTCTCCCACAGCCCTGCATTGTCCCATCAAATGCCTGCCTAACATCCCTCACTCTACCTATGCCTCTCCTCTACCCAATGCCTTTCCACGTGTTCCATCTCGAATACGGAACACCTATAGAGTATGTAGTCAGAGCAAAAAGTCACCGCGCTCTGCCTTCCAGTGTAGCAGGGAAAACCCACGTGAAAATGAATTCTGCAGAGCATGGATTTCAAGAAGCGAAGGAAGAGCTACCAAAAAAAAAAAAAAGCAAGGAGTATTTAGCAAGACCTGGGAAACTTCTCCCAAGTTTTGAGCAGCAGAGGAAAGGTTAAAGGAATTGGGGAGGTAGAGAAGATGGGAGGAAGCAGGGCCCTGGATAGAGTGAAGAGAAGACAGCAGAGCATGGGGCTGGTGGGCAGAGCATAGTAATCGCGAGCATCTCTGCGATGGGGGTCGGGTAGGTGGCACCAGGAGCCACCCCGATGGAGCACAGATCATTCAAGGCTTTGTAACAAAGATGAAAGAACTTGAACTTTACCCTAGGGCCAAAGGGGAGATATTACCAGTTGCTAAAGGCCACAGTGAGTTTCATGTTTTGTACAAAGCAGTCATTACGGCTAGCGAGGGCAGGTGGAGAGAGCAAGAGCTCAAGGAATAAAAAATGAAACCCAGACAGCAGAGAGGTCACAAAGATGGGACAGAGAGGACAGGCTTTGGATCCTTTGAGGAAAAGCCAGAGAGAAGTTGGTGGTACCCCAATGTAGGTGTGGAATAGGCAATAATAAGTGTCCATGAGCCCCCACTGAGGAGCATCATGTTGGTGGGGAACGGGTAGGTGGTCAGGAGTGTCAGGTTGGGACTGATGTCACAGCGGGTGGGGCCTGAAGCACAGGTGAGGATTCACAAAGGAGTTCCCAGGCTGACCCTATGCAGAGGGGTCCGCTTAGTGGCAGTGGTGGGCAGGTAGCCAAGTACACACAAGCTCTGCAGAGCTGCCAAGAGGTAAGGGGGCTACAACAGGATGTTGAGATATCTAAGTGTGAAGGCACTCACTAGAACATTGTGAGGGATGGTTGACTCCAGAACAGAGAAGTAGAGGATGGTGTGTAGTGCTCTAGAGGGTATGGGTGGGCTAGGCTGCAAGTTCAGAACCAATGCCATTGGATGCTCAGCACAAGGGACCAAGGAAAGGGAAATATGGGATGAGGCTGAGTGGGAAGTCGTTGACCAGGGAGCATTGGAGGACAAGTCACTGGAATATCTTCTCCTTGCTTTGGGGAGTCCTCTGTTACAAGAAGGACATGTATGGTCCTCATCAGCATCCCTTGTGACAGGTAGGTGCATGGCACACATGCCACTGTGTGAGACCAAAGAAAGAGCCAACTCTAAATGACAGAGCCAGACTCTGAGAGAGTGTCATTTGCTCCCAGGGTGACTGGAGAGCAGAGCACCCCCACCTTCCTTTCCACAGCACCATATCCTGTACCCAGCATCCAGCTTGGTCCTGAACTGCTCCACCCAGTCTGGCTTTTCTTGCCTGGGCAGGCTCAGTCTCTCCCCTGCCCCTCCTCTTCTGTGCCCCCAGGTACCCCCGCCTTCCCTTGATAATCCACACTTGCACACGGTCATTGGCTTGAGCTATGTTTACATGCTGACCACGTGTTCCTTCAGAGTCCCAACTAGAGATTGCACTTGTCTAACCTGTGCTCAACACTCCCAGCTTTCAGCAGAGGAGGGAGAAACGGTACCACTCCACATAGGCAAGATCAGAAAGCGCGCAGGGGTATCACTGGAGGGCCACAGGGTCTAGAGTCTAGAAGCAGAAAGGAGGCCCCAAACCTGCCGTAGGGCCAAGCTTCAGAAGGCAAGGAGGGACATTCACATGTCCTCAAAAAGCAGGGCACAGGGCTTAAGAAAGGCAAGTGGAGAAACAGCGAGAGACCCCCATAGGACCCAGTCACTGGGGAAACGTGAACTGAGTAGCACCTGGCTCCCAGTCATCCCACACAGAAACCAGACAGATGGACTACACGTAACTAGGGGCACCCATGGTTTTGACGATGCTGAACTTTAAGCCCACATAGATTCTGGAAGCTGGCTGAGCACTTTCCAAATCAGCAGAGCAAAAGAAAATAAAAAATGTGGTTTTGGTTGTATAACAAAAGATAGCAGAAGGAAAGAGGACAAAAGAAACAAAGCGTCATTTTTAAAGCTCAAACATGACAATCAAGGGAAAAATGTAAATGGGTTTATACACCCTCAAAGAGAAAGGATTTTCAATTTGGGTCAAAAGCCTCAAATCCAAACTATATGTTGTCAATTTAAGACAGATTATAAATAAACTTGAAAAACTGCAAAGCCAAGAGATGGCCCAGAAAAATAGGAAGGCCTCAATTTTCCTGCATTCAACTCCGAGGCAGCCCACACAGCATGCATCTCAAACATCAGGCAATTTAGTCAGCAGCTGACAGCCAGAAGCCAGTCTCTTCCAAAGGCACCCTGGCTTGCCATACAGCAGTGGGTTCAATTTGCTTGTGCCGCTGATGAAACAGTTAATTGCAGAGGTTTTCCAAGAGTGTTGAGGGGGATTGACCCCTCCCACCCCGTACACTGTGAGAGAAATGTGCCCAGCACCCAGCCCTCAGGGACATGTCCACCTCCAATCAAAACAGGGTAGCTTTATCTTTGAGTTATTGGGCTGCTGGGTTCAAATAAAGGTTTTAACAGCCCTTGTAAAAAGTTATTTAATCACATTTTGCTTTTGTTTTTTGTTATAAACAAATGAAAATGGAAAAATAAAATGGCTAAAAACTGCTGAGAACCCTAATGTTGTAAATACACAAAGTAGATGACTATGGAGGTCACGGGGCAGGTTTGAAACAGCCCATCTCTGACTTTAATTTGAAACAATCAATTGTGTATTTAAGAGCAAAATGGAAAAGCATCATGGGGCATGAGAGACTGCTTTGGTGGGTTCCTGAGAGCAAGTCTCCAAATAACACGTAGCCTTCAATAGATGCTTCCAGAAGCAATTATATGAAAAGGGTCATGTAACTTTTGGAAGTGAAACAAAAGAAAACTGTAATTCTATGACTCCATGTCAGGTTGACGAAACCTGTTTAAGATGGAGGGACAATCCATGACGGGGGGGGGGGGGGCATGGCACCTATGAACATCGCGCCAGAAAACATAAGACATCAAAATACGGAGATCAATATTATAGAAACAGTTTTCCAAGCCTCTCAGTTGGAAGGACATCAGCTAGGCAAACACAATGAAACACAAAAAGACCAAATGATAGACAAACCTCAAACCCAGAACCAACATCATATTTAACAGAAACAGTATTGGGTTTTCCTACCCCAAGTACTAAGCAACATAATAGAAAAATATTGCAAACTCCCAGAATAAGATTAAATGTCTGGTTATTTATAAAATTCAAACCTTTTCTAAGGAAATTCAAAGGAAAAAATGAAAACTAACAAGATTAAATTTCTTTACATCAAAACCTATGTCCTATAAACCAGTATTACATCTTGCTTTAAATGCCAATGAAACATTTACAAAGTTGATTATATCATGCTTAAAAAGGCATCAAAATTTTGCCCAAAATAGAGTTTACGTGCACATTCTCTAGCTACAATAAAATATAATCACATTTGAACAGAAAGCATCACGGACAACACACAACCCAAATAAAGCAGACGTGAGTTTTAAAGGGAAATCTATTTTTCACATTTCATTTAGATAACCATTTAAGAACAAAAAGAAATCATAATTATAAGTATTCAAAGTTGCTGAGAAGACTACATATTGAAGCATATGACATGAAGTCAAAGTTGCAACGAGAGACAAATTCATATCATGAAATAGTTCAATCATCAAGGAAGAGCAACAGTTGGGGATACATAGACAGACTGAACGAGTTCGAGGGAAGCAGAAGGCCGGGACTTGTAAAGATAAAGGCAGGTATCAGTGAACATGCTCACACAAAATGTTGAATTGAGAAAGTTATTCCAAGAATGGACTTTTTGAAGAAAACAGTACAGACATTTGTTTAGATTATGTATTAAAGAGATAAAGTATGCATATATGAAATGAAGAGGAGCTATAATCATAGAAATATAAAATTCACTATAGCATAACATTATTTGCAACTCTATTCCAATAAAAAATTTTAAATCTCAGAATGGATTATCTCCAGGGAAAAGTAACACCTAAGCAGAATTGAGTGCTCACTGTGACAGACACATGATGACATACTTTATCTCTTTATCTTCTCAATGGTCCCTTTTAGGCTCTCATTTTAACCATTGACAAAGCAGGAAACTAAGCAAAGGAAGGAGACAGTGTTCCCAAGAGCTCCATGAGAAAGAATTTAAGCTCAATATATCTCAAAGCTTGACTACGGTGATATATCAGAAAAGAGGCAGAACTTTTAAAGATACAGAAAGTTAAAAGATTCCAGTCAATACAAAAGAAACAGAAAGCATCGTGAAAGACTTGACAGGAGGTTAATCTCAGCAAATTCAAGTTTTCCTGGAACTTTCCATTTAAATGTATTATATACATGGTACAGAATATAGAAAAAGATGCAGTGACACCTGATTCATTTTACAAAGCCGACGACGTGACTTTGACACTGGAAGCTGACAACAAACACATTGGAAAAAATCCCAAATTAAACACTTGCAAAGCAAATCTTATTAAAAAGACAACATACCACAGTCGAATAGAATTTGACCCCAAACATTATTGTCATTCATTATACTGACAGAGGGAAGCAACACAAACATCTCTCAAACATAAAAAAAAAGCATTTCAGAAAATTCTAAATCTACTTCTGAATCATACATGAACTAAGAATACTGCGATATAAAAAAGAAAGAAAAGTCTAGTCTGAAAAATTCTTTGTAATTGTACCCGACAGTGAAACAGAAGACAGATTTCCGTTACTAACAATTGTTTTAGAATTTGTAGCCAATGCAATAAGATAAGAAAAAGTCATCAGCAAGACAACATGGAAGAGATAAACTACAGAGCCTATGGAGAAACAAGAGGCTTTACCTAGAGATTTTAAATCATTCAATGAAAAGTTTGTAGAACAAACAAATCAATTCAATAAGACAGATAGAAACTAGGTATATATAAAAGTTTTCAACATTCCACTGACAAGGAGTTCAAAAATGTGAAGAGAAGGGGCCAGATTTGCAACAGAGGTAACAATTCATTCTTTGAAATAATCTTGCTGACAAATTGTGAATATGACAAATTTATAAATATAAATTTAAAACTGCAAGATAGCATGCAAAGAGTTATTTTTAGTGTTTATTTTTTGTCTGTTCATTTTTGTTTGCTTGTTTTTGTTTTTTGAGATAGGTTTTCCCTCTGCAGCCAGTCTGGCCTTGAACTCATAATCATTCTGCCTTTGTCTCCCAAGTGCTGGGATTACAGGCATGCACCACCATGCCCGGCTTTAATGAACATTACAAAATTACACAGAAAATGTACTGTGTTTTAAGCTTCTAGGTATTCCTAAAACCCACCTGAAAGAATAAACAAATGAGCCTAACAAGAAAAAATAAGAGAGAAAATGAAAGAAGATTATTGCCAGTGAACAATGATACACTGTAACATTAATACATGAAAACCAAGTCCAGCTGGCCTAAAATTTTAATAAGTCAAGGGAACTAGGGAAAGTCAACACAAGAAGTAAAAACTATAGAGGTACATATGGGGGGCTAGAGACATGGCTCAGTAAGTAAGAGCTCTTGCTTGTCTTGCAGAATGGTAGGTCACAAGCATCTCTAACTGTAGTTCCAGGCAAACCAATTTCCTTTCTGGTTACCATCAGTATTGCACACACATAGTGCACAGACACATGCAGCTGAGACACTCACGCATATGTTTAAAAATGATATGCAATGCAATAAATGTAGAAATTGGATATTTTTGCGATGATTTAATGGGTTAAATATTAAAATATAAAACATGAAATTACAGAAATTCTAGAAAAAAAACAGGTTGACTATTTATATGAGCTTTATTTGGGAAATAACTTTCTATCCAAAAATAAAATACAAATGAAGAAACTATAAGGAAAAAAAACCTAAGTAATATATTCCTACATAACCTAACAATTTCTATTTTAAGAGTTATTTTAGTATTTATGCCAGGGGGAGAGTGAGAGCTTTGTGTGTGTAGTGTGTGAGTGTGAGTGTGTGTGTGTGTGTGAATATGTGTGTGAGTGTGAGTGTGTGTGAGTGGGGGGGTGGGTACACACTCATGCGCATGTACAAGCTTCCATGTGCAGGTGAAATAAAAGCCAGAAGGGTATCAGATCCCCTTGCAGCTGGAGGTAGCCATGGTTGGATGGTTGTAAGCTGCCCAGGATGGATGCTGGGAACCAAACCCTGGTCCTCTATAAAAGAAGTGCAAGCTCCTAACTGCTGATCCATCTCTCCAGCCCCACAATTTTTAATAAAAGGCTCCATGAGCAAAATTGAATGGAAGATGAGAAAAAAGGCAGGGGGAGGAATGGGAGGAAAGGTTGGTAGCATATGGCAGTAATTTAAGAATAGAGGGAACACTTAGCAATATTGTAGAATCAGTCAAAGAGGTCCAATATACAATTGAGGTACTTGGGGGAGGGGAAATGGAGAGGGAAATTGGTTTATAAATCCAAATGGGTTTTTTTGGATCAAAAGAGTAAAAATGGATAATCAGAGATCCAGATCAACATAGGAACAATGACATTCTCAGACAAATAAATGCAAGATTGAAGAATGACAAGGGCTTAATGTGTCTCACAATAGGCCAGAAGACAAGGCTTTTGTATCTGTGATATTATTGGTAGGGTCTCTCTCTCTCATTTTATTATCCCTGGAGTTTCTAAGCTGTCTTCTTTGCCATTGTTCCCATTTCTGAGTCTATATGTCTCTGATAATCTGAGGGGAAAGTCCATAACATAGAATTTTATACTCAGCTGCTGAATTACCAGTGTCAGTGTGAACACTTTCCTATTCAAATCTGAAAGGTCTCCAAAAGTTATTTCCCATGAACCATTTCTCTTCAAACTCTAGAAAAACATAAGAGTAATCCCAAAACCAGATATCACAGTATCTATAAAAACCAGGGACAAAACTAGGGAAAGAAAAAAACCAAAGGAACCTGTCCCCAGGAGGAGATGGGAAAACCAAGGTAGTAGCAGTCTAAAGTTAGCTCATGAGAAACTAGGAAACCTGACTCCAAAATGAAATTTCAGCATGATATGCATGTCTTAAACAAACTGTGCTGGTATGTATTATCCTGAGCTACACTTAAAACAAGCCAAAACAAAACCAAAGGACCACTGAGAAAGACACACACACACACTCTCTCTCCCTCCCTTTTTCTCTCCGGAAGAAGGGAGGGGATGAACACTCAGGGCCGCATTGTCCAGTTTTGTGAGCATGCTCACACTCTTGGAGTATTAATCAAACCAACATTTCAAAATAATCTATAAGGACGGTAGCACAGGGATGTGTGTGCAGGGTGAAGACAGGGGCATATGTAAAAGACAGTTAAAGGCTTGTCTTCAACAATAGAACAATCAAAAACGATGCCTAAGCTCAAAAAAAAATGACGCACAGAAAGGAGGAAAATCAAGAAGCAGAAAACCAAGAGTGTTACTTAGCGTTATGGATGTAAATGTCAAGAGAATCAGTTAAATGGTTACAGGTATTGCAGAATATTCGGGTGGAGCCATGAGGGTGGGAGGACTGACGTCTCCCTGACAGTCTTGTAGCAGGATCTGGCTCTTAAAATTGATGTGTATGCATGAGCTTGACAAAAAAAAAAAAAAACACAAAAACTAAAGGAATCATGAAAAGTGCAAGGAGCTTGAGCTGGCAATTCAGATACAAATACCCCACAAAGAGGGCGGAAAAGTGTTCTGTGCTGCTGTGATAAAAGCTGTGGGGATGGAAATGGGGAAATGTCATGTTTTGACAAAGCGGCAAAGGTTAAAAACCCTGATAATTCCCAGAGCAGCAGGCACTTTCTCAAACTAATTCTGAACATGTAATGGGCAAAAAAAAAAGTTTGCAGATGGTAATTTGGCCACGTGCTCACGCCTCCTGACAGACTCACTCACTTGTGCAAAGAACAGCAAGACACTGGTCAGAACCTGTGAAGAGATAGCATGTGGAGAAGCCTGCAAACATACACCATCCAGCTTTGCATCTGTCTGCAGATGGACACACACAGACCAATTAAGTCACTTATAGTCACGGCTAGACTCCTATGTGACCAATAAAAAAACCAGAGATGGGAAATTGCTGAATGGCATGGGGCAGAGTTTAGGATATATAAGCAGATGAGGAAAAAATAGGAATGATGACCCAATTAAACACACACACACACTCTCTCTCTTTCCAGGAATAAAGCAAAAACCATACACTGTTAACCATATGTTGGCAGTGGTTATCTTTGAGTGGTGTGGCTATAAAACTTTTTTGTTCTGCCCTTCCCCTCCAAACACTTTCCATGTCTTTCCAATGAACAACAACTTGTTTCATTAATGAAAAAATATTATTTTTCAAATATGTGATTTCTTAGCTTAGTATCTTTTAGAGGAGAGCCCCACATGGCAGTCTTTAGTTCATAAAATACAACTGTCTAAAGCTGGAAACTAGCAATCCTTCTCCAGAGCTGGGATCACAGGTGCATACCATGACACCTGTCTTCTTTGCATCATTTTAAAAAGTACTGCAGGATGGGGAGCAGAGGTTATCTCAAGTCCCAGCTCAAGCTACCAGAGAGGAGCCTGCTATCTAGTCATCTGTGATGACCAGAGCTATGGAAATTGGGGATGCCCTCCACTCAGAGAAGCCACTGCCAAAGGGAGCTCATGCTGTCCAGGAGAAGCCATGGTGTCTGGCCTCCCTGCAGGCTGTGGAGTCACAGTTGGAAAGCCCTTCTTTCAGTGCTTACAATCTAAGCAGGCACTAGACCAACTCTGGCCTCGTCCCTGACACACAGCATTGAGAGTAACCAGAAAAAGCAGAGCTTACCCAGGAAGACTGGCTCTGGGTCCCTGGCGTTTGTCCACACAGGAAGCTGGATCACGCAACCACGCCTCCAAAGGTTCTGTGTTGGGGGACCTTCCAAGAAAAAGTGGGCAAGTCACAAAACAAAGTCCAGCAGACGATATTCTCAAACCTGACTGCTCAGTAGACCCAAAGGCACTATACACATCCTGAGAGAGGGGACTTCGGGAACAGAGTTGGGTCAGACCCAGGTCCTATCCTCCAGCCTGTTCTTACTGGTATGCAAGATGACTCCAAGATAGCTCAGGGAGTGGAGATAGGCAGTATAAGTGGGAATGGCGAGCTTTTGTGTACCTGGAGATTGGAGTAAGAGTAGAAGGAGAAATGTGGCGGGGAGGAGGATTTCCATGGAATACTCATTGCTGTAGGGCATGGGGCAGTTGGCAGAAAGATTAGCAAGTAGGTAGACCTCATCCAGGAATTGTGACCTTGTATATGTGGCTCCAAACGAAGGGAAGCTCAGGGGATGGAGGGATGCTTAGAACAAGGCCTGGGCAGGACTTGGTGCAGAAGAAGGAAGTATGAATGGAGATGAATAGCCCAAGACCCGTCAACTACACCCTGTACTCAGGGTTTGTCAGCTAGCTCACTTACTGCTACTGTTACCATTTACCATCTTTGAGCAGGGTCTTACACAGAATTGTGCCAGGAGGCTACTTTTTATACAACCTTGGTCTACATTGCCTTCTTTTAAGGCTTTAAGGATTCGAATGATCATCTGAAAGCCCACAGTGAGAATTACTAACCGTGACTTATGTCTGCAGAGTCTACGGCTTCTTATGTGACACTGCCCCGCCCACTTGGTGACCACATGGGTGCTTCCAGTAGGCTCTTCCAGCTGAGATTCGAGGGCCCAGCAGCTTGCTTGGATCCTGGGAGTACTATGGAAGAGCTGAGCTCCATGGCTCTCGTTGCTAGGGAAAGAGAGGGCTACTGTTAATGACAGGTGGGTGCCCAGTCAGTCTTCTCCAAGAGTCACAGAAAGGATGGTGTGGGGACTAGTGAGAGCCAGTGACCAAGCTTTGGGGTAAGGTGAGCTCTAAGGGTCAGAGTGGGGTACAGGGTGGCTCTGATTCTACACAACATAAAGAGAAGGGAACCCTGCTCCTGAGTTGTGACCTGTGTGTGCCATATCTTTGGAAAAATGCTCTCTGGGTCAGCTACTGGCAAGGAAGGTCTGTTCCAGATGCTTCTCTGGATAGTTTTCAGAATGGCCACTAAACCAGCTCTGCTATTCCAATGAGCAAATCATAAAATATGTTACAATACAAACAGGATGGCAGCTTCTAACAAGAGTGAGGCCCTGAGTTGAGACATTAGTGTCCAGACTGCAAACAAGATGACTTCCTCTGAAGGTGACTATGGAGAAAGGGGATACACCCCAGATGTGAAGACAGAGTTGTTTCCCTCTGCTCATGTGGACCTTTGCTTTCTTCTTAGAAGGGGTCACTGGTCTGTCAGAGTCGGCTGCACTCACCCCCTCCCCAGATACAGCGAAAGGGTGCAGTCTCACCAGACGCCTCCTCTCTCATTTCTGCCTCCTAAGTTGCTATAACACCCCGTTGTACCCCTGAGAAATGGCCCAGCTGGAGTAGCCCCATTTCCCTGTCAACCTGGCACCTGGCTGGCCATTTAGTCTGGCTCGACACAGCCAAGTTCTCAAGAAGAGGTTGAAAGAAGAAGGGCCCTAGGAGAAGCCGGAAGGCCTGCAATGGGAAGGCATCTAAGCAATGTTCCCACGTGGCCTCTCGGCACGACCATGTGGCTTTGCTGTGATCTGTGGGACATGACTCCTTCACATACACTTTCTAATGTGCTACATCCAGGTCTGATGAGCACCCACAGCCGAATAAACAGTAGCATGGTGTGCTGGCATATTAAATACGTGGATACACAGTGTCTAGAATGGTAGGATTTTTGGAGGGAGGGAGTGTGTACTATCCAGAGAGACACGTAGGGTGAGGTTAGTTGTGAAAGAACAGAACCAAGACTGTGAGGAAATAGCATGGAGTTCTCTGAGAAATCAAAGAAAAATTGTTTAATTCTTTTTTTTTTAAAGTCTGAGGTCTGACATGTGGTTTCAGGCTCCTCAGAGATCATCACAGGCAGGTTCATCACTAAATGAAGCCAGGAGCTCAAAAACACCCACGCAGCGGAGATGAAGGGACAGCTGATGGGGGGGGGGAGCACTGGGGTCGGCAGGGAGCTAGTCAGGGTCTCTGGCCACTGCCCATACCTGACTATGCTGAGAATGGGCTCTGGTAACGGGCGGGGGTGGCTTCTACATAATTGTAAAGGATGGTGGTGGGAGAATGTGTGAGTTTAAGGGAAAATAAAATATCATCAACTGGATCCAAAGCTAAGAGAAGTATGCAGGAGGGCCTGGAAGGATGGGAAAAAGGAAGCGTGCACCGGAGTCTAGGCTAGGTGACACCATTTTAATCTCCCTCAAAAGCTAAAGCAATGAGGGAGAATTATGAGGGAGAATTGATGTCACCATGGTGTCCCTGTTACATGTGGAAAAACTGAGGTGGAGCTAGGCAATCACCAGTCTCAGCTCAAGCCTCCGATTAAGGGGAGCAATGTTTTCCTTTTTAAAGCCCAAAGAAAAATGCGGAGTCCTTCTGGGAGCTTGGGACGCAGGCTGAAGGAGCTGGGCCAAGGAAGTCAGCCTGCTTCACCGCACCTAGAGGTGGAGACTTCCAGGTACAGACACAGGTGGGCCTTGAAAACCTGCAAAGCTGGGAAAGCACACCCCATAGTTGGGGCAGCACCTGCCCGTTCCCTGAAGTCTGCTAGGTAGAGCATGCCCACACAGCATGGAGTAGAAAATACACATGCCCACTGGCTCATTGCAGCACGCGTGCGTGCGCACACACACACACACACACACACACACACACACACACACACACACATGCATACGCACACGCATGTGTGTGCAGAAAAATGAAAGGAAGCCAACTTGTGTCTTAAGTTGAGTTCTGGGATGTCTCCAAGGACACACAAGGGTACTCCCTGGGTGAGGAAATCAAACACCAGGTCTCCTAATCATTCCCACCTTTGGAAGAGTAAGGCCTTGAGAGACACAGTTCACACTGGTCCCACCCTACACACCACCCCTCCCGGGCCAGAATTCCACACCCATCCACGCCGAAGCTCCTTGCTGACTAGGGGAGGATTGAGGGTTTTGCCAAAAAGCTTGAAAGATCTAGAGAGGGGACCAATCTCTTTCCAGTTCCATCAGAGAAGCAAAACCAAACCCCAGGGTTTTCAGCCTTGCAAAGCATCTCTGGGCTCAGTGACAGGGGGACTTGTTTCAGCCTTCACTCCCCCCCTTCTTTGGGAGGCAGACACAGCACATACATTCTCCCCAGTCAGACTCAGCTCTGGCCTGTGACCATGGGGTTTTAAATTTTGAAAGAGACCTTTTGTAAAATGTTCGGTTCCAAGCACTAGTCGGAATGCTCTCATCCTGTCTATACTTTGTGGGGGAGTGAGGTTTATTTAAGCAGGGACAAGAGTTCATGCCAGGCAATTTCAAGGATTGGGGTTACACATCTAACAAGGCACAGGCAAAGGCAGAGTGGAGTTAGAGGAGGAAGGCAGAGCCCCAGCAGTGAGCAGGGAATATCCGTGCCCAGGGGATATAGGATCTGAGTCTGGCACATACTCTGAACTCAATGGGCACACAGCTGTGTATTTTGCCCTTGTTAATCTTTACCTTTCCCAGAAATCTCCATGCTTGAGTTCTGTAGCAGGTTCTGTCCTGAGCAGAAGAGGCCAAGGGCCATCAAGTTCAAGTACCTCAGCCAGGGAATGCAGGGCCCTCTTAAGAGTGGTGCACACCCAAGCAGGTCATGTATGACCAAGGTGGTGTCTCTGAATATGTGTCCAAGTCAAGGGCAAGGAAGAGGGCAGAACATAAATGATGTGTCACCAGGGCAGGATGAGCAAGAAATCTCACTGTCAGTGGCAGTGGCCATGGTAAGGATGGTGGCGGTGATGGTGCTGGTATTGGTGACATAGTATTGTTATTGTGTTGGTGGTAATGGTGTTGTTGGTGTAGTGTTGTTACTGTGTTGGTGGTAATGGTGGTGTTGGTGGTGGTGGTGATTATACTAGTGATGATGATTGTGACGGTTATATTAGTACTACCACTGTTATTGTTGATAGTGGTGGTCATGGTGGTAGCAGGTGGTTGTGTTAACAATGGTAGTGATGGTGCTTCTGGAGTTGATGACATTGTGGGCAGTAGTGATGCTTAGGATGGTTATCGTGGTGGTGGTGATGGTCCTGGTCAAGGTGGTGATATGCTACTGTTGCTGGTAACGGTGATGGTCCTGATGGTAGTGTCAGTGGTAATACAAGTGTTACTGGAGGTTGCCCTGGTGGTAGGTAGTGATGGGAGCTGTAACGATGGTGATGATGTTAGTGATGATGGGATGGTTGTGATGATAATAATGACGGCGGTGGCTGTGATGATGGTGATGACGTCGGAAGTAGCCATGCTGATATGGTGGTAGTGATGCTATGGTGACAATGGTGGCGATGGGCAATGGTGCCAGTGACGATGGTGGTGGTGGTGGTGGTGGGTGGTGATGATGGTGGTGGGTGGTGATGAATATAATGCCAAAAGACACTAAGGTTATTTTGAAGTTACTGAATGCTCTAAGATTGACTGCTTTGCTTATCCAGAAAATTCTGGGCAACAAGGGAGAGCGTAACTGAGGTGTCCTCGATGTATGTACCACCCCTTAAAGCGAAGCTTTAGAGTCTAGCCTACAGTCCTCAGTGCTCAGCAAGCTGACACATTCAGGAGTTACACACTGCCACAGTCTGAGCTCTTTGCAGGGGGGTCTAGAGTGAGCTCAGATGGTAAACAATCAAGTTAGTCAAAATCTGAGGCTCAGGTGTGAAAAATTAGGAAGGTAGGGACTACCTGGGTTGGTCTGAAGCAGGACGGATGGTGTGAACTGTGATCAAATCCTCATGGGTGAACCATATCCAATATATCATCACTGAGGCCGAAGGAAGGATGCAGAATGGTCCAGGGCCAGGAACCACCATGGCAAGAAATGAAGAAGAGCTAGAGTCAGGCATATGGTGTTGCTAGACACATGCTAGTTCAAAATGAGGAGGGAGGGAGGTGGGACGGAGGGAAGGGAATAGAAGGGAAAGGAAAAGGAGGGAAGGGAAAGGGAGGGGAGGGGAAAGGAGGGAAGGGAAAGGGAGGGGAGGGAAAAGGACAGAAGGGAAAGGGAGGGGAGGGGAGGGAAAAGGAGGGAAGGGAAAGGGAGGGGAGGGAGGATGGAACCGTGGATGGTGGGTCACATAGAGTAAAAGTACCCCATATAGAATAAAAGCGTTGCCAACGTACTTTTTGAATCGTCTGTTCTCTGGTAGAAGGCCGTGTTATGCCTTTTCTTGGCAGGCTATTAGAACTTGGATCTCTCCAGTTGTGCAGGCTCTGAGAATATGGGTAACATAAGCATAGCTTTAGACAAACACAACTGAAACAGCACTTTTCTAATTTTATAATGGTGTCTTGTCCCTCCCAGGGGTAAAGCTACAGGAAAAGCATGAGGTATCACTAACTACGCTACCATAAGCTCCTGTGGAAGGCACGACTCCCTCAGGAAGGTATCACTGCCCTCCTGTAGCTGAGGTTTGACTGTGGGAAGGCGATTCGCATTAAGCTCCAAGTCCCATGATCAGAAACAAGAGGAATTTGGTTTGCTTGGAAAGGCAAGGGCATGCGCCCACTCAGCAGAGGCATAAAAACAAGCCTCAGTTATTTTTGATCTGCTGTTTTGGCAGAGTCAAGGGGAGCTTTCGGGAAGACCCAGGGCTTCCATTCCACCATGCCAAGCCAGAGTTACCCAAGGATGGGCCAGTGTCCCGAGCAGTCAGAACTGCCAGTATCCTGTCTCATTATCTAACATAGGAAGCCAGGCCCTGGCGAGAATCTGGTCTTGCAGGGAGGATGCCACAGACCATCTGACACATAGCACACTCTTCCAAAGAGGAGCTACCAGGCCATACTGGTTCCACAAAAGCACATGTATTTTTAGTCATTCTCTTATTCATTCAGCAATAATTTACTGGGCGCCTACCAGGCTCAAGGCTGGGCCGGAACTATGGATAGAGGGAAGAATTTGACCCAGTTCCCAGCCCTCAAGGCTCTTTAGTTTAGTACTGACATGTAAACAAACGCCCATGATAGAGAAATCAGGGAGCTCTGGCTCAAGTATTTACAACTGGTGTGGAGCTGGGCGTGGTCACTCTCCTTGGAACAGAGAAAGAGTAGCTGTGAGTTCATTCATTGCCTCATGCCCAGACAGCTGACTCAGTCATACATCAGCTAACTCACTTGTTCAGTCACTCATTCACTTCAACTTCACTTATTATTTAATTACATATTTGCTGACTAATTGGCTCCCAAATCAATTCTTTTATTCATTAACTATGGTATGTTCATTCATCTAGCCACTGGCCTTTTCATTCACTTACTCATTTATCATTTCTTTCAGTTACATGTTTATTATGTAGTTGTTATAGTCACTCTTTTCCTTTTATTGAGTCACTCAATTACATATCCTTGAGTAAGTCATTCATTCATTCATTCTTTTGGGTAAACAGTGACTTTTGCTTTCATTAATGGACTCACTGCTTCATTTATCCCTTCAGGAGAAATGAAGGTCTACTTGTCCATTCATTCATAAATCCATTGAGGAATTCATGGACTGGCTGGTCCACCCAAGACAGCACACTCAGTTCTTACTGCTGTGTTTGTCTTCCATTCATTCACTCACTGGCACCATCCCTCATCACTCACTCATTCCATGCTAGCCTGCTCACGAATGTATCCACTCACAGACTTCCCATGCACCCATTCACTCTTAAACTTAGTCACTAATGAGTGTAGATAATCTCCTCTCGGAACAACCCTTGATATTTTCATTCTTTCATTTTTCTTTCCCCTCAAGGAATCTTTCATTCACTTGTCATTATATTAGTTCATTCTTTTTGTTATCATTTATTCACCTACTGGGTCAGCAAACATTTCATGTGCTCCTGGCAGTGAGCTAAAATTGTGGAAGACCCCATAGTACAGTAATGCCACCTCTCATAAAGTGCACAAACCTTAGAACTGAGCAGAGAACTCTGCATTTCTGGACCACACATGTACTTTTGTCCTGTTCCACTGTGGGTGTGCTAGTGTTAATTAATATCACAGAGTCACTAACCCCATAGGATTGGGCTCTTGTATAAGCTCCATGTTTGACACAAGGTCTGACAAGGATGGAAGTCAATAGTGTTGGGCAGAAAATGATACTTTTATATTAATTATTTTAGCAGATACTAAGCATCAGAAAAATAAAGATCATGGAGCATTAGAACCTCCTAACAAACCTGCAAACACATACGCTCACTAGAATTTGTGTCTTAGACATGAAAAGTAATTCCCATGAGTGCCATGAAAGAATATTTTTAAAAAACCTTACTGGTACATATAAAGTATGCACTATGTTCTATAAAAAAACAGGAGAGAATAAAGTTCCTTTTGTAGATGTCAGCAGCTAAGAACTGTAGCAATAGTACTCATCACAAAACATTTTAATCACTAGCCCGTGATTGGTCCAGCTCCAATCTACTGTTTAAAAGATTGGATTACTAAATAAAGATAACAACATGTCTACAAACTCATCATCAAATTACAAAAAAAAAACCTTAAAAAGAACAAGTATTTAACGTGTTTTGGGCTCCCTTACACACAAAATCAGCATATTAAATTTTTTTGTTTAAATGGATTTAAAAGAAAAAAAGAGTTGACCATAGTTCTTAATTAATGGCAAAAGTTCTCATGGGAATAATCTCAATCTGGGTGTGAATTTTTCCTTATTAATTTAGTCATTCATTTTCAAAAAGAATGTCAAAAGAAAAGAATTTACAGCCAAGCAGATTGGGGAGTGGGATTGATTTTCTACAGTTCTCTATAGACTTGTTTAGCACAACACACTACATGACCCTACTTAAACAAATCTTCCTTTTATTATAGACTTCCAGGGTGGGTACCATGTGGACTTTGTACTTAGTTCTAATTTACTTTCTTAACAAGGCCACAGTCTTTGCCTGCAACTGGAGTGTACCTGTGATCTCTCTGTTCCAGAATGTACTCCAAGCTGACTGTGTGTATGTCTCATTTGTGCAAACAGGACCAACTGACTACAAGTATACGTGTGGTCTTCTTTGACAGTATGGCACCTAATGTCAGTTTTAAATAGACAGTGACCACCTGTAGCAAAATGAACATGCAGGAGCAGAAAGCCTGTTACTTACCCAGATCTATTCTGCTCTTGATCATACAGTCAATGTTGGACCCTTTGTCCTGAGGTAGTGATGAAAGGAGCCCATGTGCATCCATTCTACTGAGTACAAAGTGATATAGAGAAGCATGAGTTGGCCTCAGTGTCAGTCTTCACTTGGCAGTCATTCATTTAATTAACCTACGTCTATTTGCTTAACATTTTTTTCATAATGAATTAAATGCCAAGGAACCTTTAGCATTTCAAACTGAATGGACAAAGACATTTCAGAACTGAATTAATAATTCTTACTTTATAAGAGCTCATTTTCCTTCATCACAAATATATTTATCCACCGAGACATTTATTCAGTCTCTGTACAAAAATCAATGTCTGTGAGCCCTCACAAACTCCAATGGTGGAGCCTTAAGCTTTACTCGAGTCATTCTCACCACATCCCCCACTAATTCTTTCATGCGATGGACTTCAGAGGCTCATTGAAATCATGGTTTGTTCTCAGATGCCTTCCCATCACATCATCAGCCCATGCGCATGTAGGGTCATGCCTTTAATGTGAGCAAGCACACTGTAGGACAGCATGACTACACACCTAACTCCCTAAGGGGCAACCTCCATCCGTGAAGAGGTGCTCAGTTCACCTTTTGAAAATTAAGGAAAGATCCGCTTTGTTCTTGCCCTTCATTTGTACTAAATTGAATTAGTGGGGGTTTAGATAATGGCCCACACTAAAAAGTTCATTGCTTACAATTCATAATATTCTCTCTCCCCAAAGGGTGAAGGCAGATATCTTCGTGATTAGGAACAGATCAGCTGTGGTACAGTGTCCTGTAGAACAGAAAAGAAATTGCCTCTAGCTGTGTGTGTGTGTGAGAGGGAGTTATGTAAATACAGTTCACATATATAAAAAAATTAAAAAGTGTTAAATTCTCAGAGCATTAATACAATATTGAAAATTTTGAAATTTACAGAAAACTGGATAAATCACTATTATTCAAGAAATGCTGTTACTGTGTGCCATTTTTCCGTTTTAGCGTATTGATTTCTATCCTTAGTCATTTATTCTTGAAGATGATAAACTCAATATTTTTAAAGACAGTAGCAAAAATAATGTAGCCACAGGCACATTGCTCATTTCCAAGATGACACAGACTCTGTAGCCTTGTGATAACATTTAATGAGCCCTTAGTGGTCCTTCACTATAATGATGGGCTTTTATCTTATGGTAAAATGTGTTCTGAACTTACAATAAACCCAGGGTAATATTCTCACCTATCCATCAGTTGCTACTGACTGTTGGAAACACAGCAAAGGCTGTTGGTCCATTTATCATCCCTCACACATCCTATCAGGATTCTTCCTTTGACACAACAGCTAGGAGTTGGAGTTTCATTCTATTTGTTGACTCTGATGGTCTCATTTCAAGTCAATCTAAACATGAAATCCACATAGTTCAAAATCTTTCTACAGATTTTTCCCCCACAGAGAGACTAAGTTTCTATTGTGTTGGAAGTCCAGATATTCTTCATGGCCCACAACTCCTACACTACCAGCACCATCATCATGGGCTCAAGCTGGTCTTTGCATTCTTCATTCATGTTTACATGGTTTTATTAACCATGTAGGAATATCAAAAAGCTCACCACAAATAATCATGTAAGAATCGTCAAAACTTGTGACCCTGAGCAGCTCCAACAGCCCTCTGTGTAATTACTACCCAGAACAATACCTCTATTCTTAACCTCAATGTTGCATGCATGCACAGATCAGTGTAATAATGTTTTATATTAAGCCCATTTTTACAATTGAGTCAAAGTGTCTTCTAAATGATTCTAAGTCACACTTGAAAACTTTTTTATGTGTGAATGGCTTTTTTAAAAAATCAAGAAAATGATCTCAGCTGTCATTATTCACTGGGCCCTCCACACACATAACACATAGACACACCCACAGACCTGGCTCAGCACAAATGTCTTCTTTCAGGGATACAGAGAAGAGAAGATCATTGGCAAGAATGAGACCTCATTTGCATTGGTTTTGTATTCAATCTTTCATTAGTCAGTCATTTAGACAATGTGGGATGTCTTGTACAAACAAACAGTGTCAGCCGTGCCACAGACACAGACACTGTTGTTGCTCTTCTACCTAGGGCAAAGCAGTGTTTTCAGTACATAGAAATGTCTGCTTGGCTTACAAGATATTCTTATAGTTGAAAAAGGCTTATATCTACTCCTTGTTATCTATTTGATTAGTGACTCTTTCCTTCAACTACTTGTAGTATTAGCTTGAAAATGCATTTTAACAAAAGGAAAAAATGAAACCCTTATGATTTCCTGATCTCTATGTAACTTCAGGGGGGGTGTATTTCTTATATGGTGGACCACAACTCCAGACATGTACCCATTTGTATTTCAGATGACATAAAGAATCCCGATAAAGTCAGAAAGAACACTGGTCTCTTTTCATTGCTTCCCTGTTTGGTTATTAACTCACTAATTCACCATTGGCAACTTTTAAGTAGTATGGCTCACAGAAACGCAAGAGATTTGTGATTGAATAATTGCCCTTGCTATAATCCGTTATCAGCTCATTCTCAAAACACTGCTCAGCTTTTCATACACGTGTCTGACAGTGGAATGCCTCCTGCCCATTCCACATTAACAACTGGCCTGCACACGGCTTTCAGCCGATAATGATGACATAGAATAACATTATGGTATAAATATTATATTTGAATACATCTTTAAAAATGCACAAAATAAGAATTGTTGTTTAATACTTACCTTGGCCTCCGGGGGTGAATAAGTATCTCTCCTTCCATTCGCCTGTGTTAAGAGACAAAAAACAGAAGCCATGACAAAGAAAATGCTGTTTTTTTTGGTCTCCACTGAGCACTGTGTTTCAGCTTTTTTAAATCAATCATTGTTTAACAATCATTAATTGAGAGTGCAGTTATTTCATTTTCTATAGAAAGAAAAATGAATTATTTTGAACTGCCCTTTGGCCCAGAAGTAGAAAACTTCTATAATTTATATTGTTGATGTCAACATAGCCACAGAGGTGGAAGATGTGCCAGCACATACTTCAGAATCCACTAATGGCACTTTCGCTTCAGGATATATTTTAAATTTTGACATTGCATAATTGGTTTATTACTTCTCACACTGGCTCAATCATAAAGACTGGAATAAAAATGCATAAATGCAAACTATAAAATGTAATGTGTTCTAATTCCTGACACTTATCAAGAGGATAATTTAGAGCAAAGAATTCACTGCTAACCTCTGGGGATGGATCTGAGAATTCCACATGTGTGTTCATCCATGAGTCCCACACCACAATGGCCTGTGTTTCTCTGTTCATCTCCTATCTGTTAGGTAAGCCATCATCTCATTACCAATGCCATCTCTATGAATTGCACAAGATGGAGAAGAACCCTTCTACCCATAACTTCCATAAGGAGGTACTGCAACACTTGCGTGACTATTTTGTCAATTACCTTCCATGCTTCCTGTCTGCTTTATCATTAGACTACTTTGCATTAATCCCTACTGGCCACTGGCATAATGTTGGCCACTGTTGAGTATATCACACACTTTGTAATAATACAGTGATTATCTTAAGCAAACTACCAAAACCAGGAAAATAATATTGGCTTCAGCTCACATGCAGCATGAACATCTTCTCAGGGAAGTACAGAGCTCTTGACCATGGGGGATGCTCCCATCATGTCACATAGTTCCTTCCCTCTGAGACATACAGCACACAGAATATGACAAAATTAAGATATCCTCACTATTCATCCTTGTTTGCAACTTATTGACTCAATCAATACTTGGAGTCATTTATTTTTTAAGAAGATAAATAATTTCAAACTAGCTACTGCAATAATTTGAATACTCTCTTAATCATACTATCTATATATTATTAGCCACAGAGGTAAGGGTAGTGACTCTCTCTTTGAATTTTGCTAATTTCATAGTATATTAACAATTCCCCAAACTTAACATGTAGTTTTAGGATTAGACAATACCTAACTATATTCATTGTTTTTGTTTATATATGTACATATTCATACCCACATTGACCAATCATGAAAATATATACATATAAAGACCACAAAGACCTACATTGCATATTCCTACTATCTAGATATATAACCATTTCAAACACAGACAATGGGCTATGGAACCTTTGTAATGGACCTCAGAATGCATAAATGCATTCAACACACTAACTCATATTTTACCAGAAGTCAACATTGATCCAAGGTTGACCATCTATTTCATTGATTTATACCTTGCCCATTGATAAATGTTAAGTTCTGTGATTCATAAATGACAAGAACATATGTGACATTCCTAATCGGTATTGAGAAAATTCATATATTAATAGTAATTTATTCAGGTATTCATGAATGTATAATAAATAGAATACTTAATATCCATCCCTGATCAATCAGTGGGATACAGTTGGTCATCACTAATCATGTACTTTTAAATAATGTATTGAATGCTCTCTTGTGGGGAGGGTAGTATCAAGATAGAGTTTTTCTGTGTAGGTCTGTCTGTCTTAGAATTGACTTTATAGACCAGGCTGGCCTTGAACTCAAAAACCCACTAGTCTCTGCCTCTGGAATGCTGGTGTTAAAGGCATGTGCCACTACAATTGTATTTTCTTAAGCAAGTCATTCAAAACAAGCTCACACTGGAGTCTCACTCATGATGGCTCACATTCCTCAGTGCAGTGCAGACAGTGCCTCCTGTTATGGAAGATGCTCCAATCACACAGTATGTCTGTTCTGGGGACTACTGAACAGAGAAAATAACAAAATTAACTGTTTTTTTTAACTTTCCTAGTAATGACCTGTAGTTTTCACCTTCCATTGGCCATTTGGGCAACCATTTTAGCAACACATTTAATCTCTTTCTCTGAAAAAGATGAAATTTTCAAACTTGCTCTGAATGTGGGCATTGTCTGTAATTTTTTATTGTTAATGTTATCATTAGTTAAAAATATTTTTAAAGGTGGCATCATGTATTCTGATCTATTTCTTGGAACTAATATTTGAGAATCAGTCAATGATTTTTATTTCTACTTATTTATAGGACTGGTTTACTCTCACACTGATACAATTATAAAAACAGAATGAAATTTATAACGTCAGAGAAAATGAATATATTCTACAGTCCTAAAGGAAGCACTTGAATTGAAGGGAATAGATTATTTTTCTCCTTTAGTAGATCTCAGGGTTCCAGAAATATAGTCATCTGTGTGACTCATGTGCCACCAGTGATCATTATCAATCATGATTGCTTCTTTCTTTTTGCAATCACTACTCCTTTATTGTTTGTGAATTAGTTCAATAATAAATTAATAATAATAATAATTGAGTATCTATTATTCAAACAACCCTATAAAATCTTTCTCCTTCCTAATCTGTGTGGAATTGTTCTAAGCTTAATTACTTATCTTCAGTGTTTCATAAGTAGGTGACAACTTCCATTCACTTCTGATGCTCTGGCTGGTATGAACTGGCTATCCTTGGTGCTTTTTCAGGCACACATTGAGTTCTACTAAGCAAATCACCAAACCTGAAGAAAGAATCCTGGCCGTTACTCACAGCAGTCTGCCCAGCTACACCTATGACGTCATCAGAGCTCTCAGCCATAGAGGTATCCTCAAGTCAGCAAAGTTGTGAGGAATGCAAAGCAGAAGAGGGAAAGACAAAATTAAGATGCTGTTTTTCACTGTTGACCTTAACCTACTCAGTCTTAGGTAATCAGTTATAAGAGAAGGATATCTATTTAATTAGCACTTAATTAAATAATGGCAAGCCTAACAATCATTTGGGCATACATAAAGTTATGCTTTATATTGTAACTTTCACCACTTTCTCAAGAAGATGTGTAGGATTCCTATTTGATCTAAAAAGTATTTCTTATTTATCATGTATTTTATAATTGGACCATACTTACTTATTTTTATTTGTATATTTATTGATTCTTACACTGATCCAGTTGTAAGAACATCAGGAAATGCATATTCATAAGGCTAGAAGTCAACCCCACCTCTACTGTTGACAACTAAACTTTATGATGAACCTCAGAGGCACAGTCATTATGTATATAACTCATATATGCCATCATTGTCATCATCAATTCAAGACTGGTTCTGTTTTTCTTCATTCATTTTATCATGGTAAACATAAATGTGTCTCCTTCAAAAAGTACCCTCATTTTAACACAGAAGCATAATCTGATATACTATTTTATACTAATTCCATGTATGTTCTTTATTACATTTGAGCTAGTGTGAATGTATTTCACATCTTAGTAACACAGTGACTAACCTTCCACAAACCATCAAAGCCATGACAATAACGTTGACCAGATATCAAACCATCCCAAGCAAATGATGATCAGGAAGCCATTGAAGATGAACAGATGCCCTTGGAAGAGTTCATTCTACGGAACACAAAGCAAAGCAGAGGACAAAACAATGACAATGCTGCCATCAATCTTTATGTAGCCATGTACCTTCTGTGTTGAATCTTGGTGTTTCAGACACATAGTCATCATGTATGATTCAAATGCCACCGGTGGTCATCATCAAGCCAAGATTAGTTCTCCTTTTCTCTAATTATTTCTACTTTGCCTACTAATTACTTAATTATAAACCCTATGATCAGTAACCCCCACTCACACAAAAAAATAAATCTAGGAGTCTGATTATTCCTAATCTGTACATAGATTCTCTCTAATATATACATATATCAAAAATACACACTAGTTATCATATTTGCATTAAGAATGAACAATTTTATGCAGTCCCCATATCTGCCTTTGGTATTTAGATGGTCATTACTAACACTACATTAAACTATCACTAATTACATTATACCCTGTTTAAGCACTATATTAAATCATGCAAACCAACACACTGAGATTGCTGTAACTCACACTGGTCTTGTTCTCCTCCTCAGCAGGGTGCAAATGGAGCCCTTGACCCTTAGTGGATCCTCTAATTACATGGTCCATCCTGAGGGAAAGGGAGGGCAAAATAGGATAATGAGAACTTACAGAGAAGGCAGCAGAGGTGAAAACACTGGAATTCACACCTGTCCTAGGCTCTGTACTAAGGAGCGAGCCAGTACTACTGGTCATGGAAAAACGTGCCAGTCATTCAAGAGTATCCACTCTGAGAAGTGGGGCTTTTTGTTACAAAGCCACATCTTACACTTTGTATTCTATGATTATCTATCATCTGAGCCATTCATGCAAGCCACCATAATTTTAAAATATTTAAACTATTGTCTTATAAAATGAATATCTTTCAACTTACAGTAGATATTATCTGTTATTGACAATATGTCCACTGTACACAAATCAGTTGTATGATACTCTTTGGATTACATATTTTCAATGTACTATGGTGTTTTTGTTTTGTATTTTTTGGGGGCCTCGACTCTCGTGTTTGTAACTAAATAATGTTTCACCCACTTATCTTCACTGTTTTCTCTATTTATTGGATATTCAAGGACTTAAAAGAATTGTCGCAAAGAGATGAATACAGAGAGCACATGGGCTGCAGGATGGACCCAGAGACAGGTATATATACATTATCCTAGACTCGTACTACCTGTGTTCATCATCAATCCAGCCTGACTCTAGTTACCTCTACTCACTCCCTTTTTGACTCTAGATTGAATCATTAACTCACTAGTAAAAATGGAAGCTTTACTATTCCTCCAAGTCACTCCTCTATAAAGAATGAGTTCACTTCAGCCTGTCTCCTTCAATGAGGAGCCTTGGTTTATGAAGAAAGGCCAATTCAATGTCCTCATTGGCAATCCTTGGTTTAACGCAACCATAGTTAAAACTTGATTTTCATTGAATATATTGATTTGTGTTTATGAGTGTACAGGCTAAGGACACGTGCATGGAGGTCAGAGTTGAACATTTGGGAATCTGTTCTCTTTCCACCATATGGGTACTGGGGCACAAACTTAGGTCAACAGATTTTGTAGAAAGTGCCTTCATCCACTGAACCATCTCACTAACCCCATATTAGATACTTCTCAACAATGAAGCAAGTAACGGTCAACAGACCACATAAAACACAAGGACATTAACTACTACTCACATTGGCCCAAGTGCAATGCAGGGATACAAATGTTGTACTGGTGACCACAAATAATGCAGAAGCCATGTCAGGAGTACCCATTCTGAGGAGTAAAGAAGAGAGCACAAGATAAAAAATGGCACTCTCCTTCAAGGATCCTTGCTTATCTACTTATCTTTCATGTTGGACCTTAGAGTTTCAGACAGGTATCATTTGTCATCTTTGTCATACCTTGGTAACTGTCATCATTGGTCCAAGAAAAGGTTTGTTCTCAACTCTTCTCTAGCAATCTCTATGATACACAGACATCCCACAACAGCACAGCTCTCTGACATATTTATGCTCATATAAACATATACACATATGCTGTTAACCATGCTCAGACATCATATATGCTTAGTATACAAGCCAACTTCATGCCAAGTGGCAATGTGAAAATCGACCTGTAGGATCATATTTCATGCTTTGTGAAAATAAACTGATGCCTACCAAAACACAGACAAGACCTATGGGTGTCACACAAACTTACCTTGATTCACTTAATAAACACAGAGGATTCTGCTGCCAGCTTACACAAGCCCATTGAGAGGGAGCAAACAAAAAGAGGATAAATGATTTTTACAAGCAGATAACAACTGTGGTTTTCAACGTTGATTTAGAGAGTGATCTATCTAATCTGTAACTAAGTAATATAATTTATGTATTAATAAAACAAGCAAATTTAATTATGTCCAAAGGCTAAGAATAAAAACTGTGGCTGTAAGGTATTCTGCATATACTGTTCTTAATGAGAGAAGAAGGAGTAAGGGATGGCTCCATATAAAAGTAGACTCAGGCATTCTCAACATGCATGGGTATAGGGTCGTAGGGAGTCACGATTAATGTTACAGTCCATGTGGATGTGTAGGTGTCTCTTGGACAGAGGGCACTTTTCCCTGTAGTTTCACACAGTAGCGGATGTGTTGGTTCATAAGAGCTTTGTTTTGATTTTGAGCAGCATGAGCTGTTTGTGGAATGTGTGCTGTAAAAAGTGTCTCTTGGTAGTTTTTGTTTTGCTTTGTCAACTTGTATGATTGACACTCAACAGGTTAAGGCAATATGCGACTTGAAATTTAGAAGAGCCCAATGATCAATAATGAATTACAATACTAATGCAAAACATAAATATAAAAATATACTAAGGATAGAAATAATTCATTTACTGTTTGGGACTTTGGATGTCTTATGTTGGGAAATGCCAATATAATACTATTGTCCTTTTATGCAAATGACTAGCTATACACTACTATTATGATGGGATACTTTACAAGTAGTGGGTAAAAACACAATGACAAATCCTATTTATGCACTAAGAAGACTTACTTTAAACAAAAAAACACAGATATAAATATAAGCCTGTGAATAAATGACAGACAGAAAAATAAGAAGAGGATATGACCACTGACATGGGAATTATTAAAACTTATAACTGAAAGAGTAAAATGGTGACAATAGTTTGGCAATTTCTAGAAAAGGGTGGATAAGAAAGTTGAGGTGAGTATTTGTAAAACTGCAATGAGAAAGGTAGAAAAAAATGTGGTATATTGCTGCAATTGGAACCAATGTGGCTACAAGAGATGTAGCGATTTTCTAAAACAAAAAAGAGAAAAAAAAAGAGAATATGGAAAAAAATGGCACAGTCAAAGACATGAAAACTAGATTTTAATGTTATATGACTTGTAATTTACTAGAAAAAGATAGTAATCTAACAGAGAGGATAACATTAATAAGCAATACAAAAGACTAAAAAGCTAAGTTAAAGTTTATTAGAGCCTGAAATCCAAAATTAAAACTACCATTATATTATTAATGTTATACTTGCTACTTACAAGTGAAGAGATAATGATAATATGAGATCTTACCAACATCTGACCAAAGTGGGTATGAAATGGGTATCCTCAGGGTGGCATAGTAACATCAGAGAAAAGTTGCAAAAACCAGTGCAGTCTCAGAGAATATCACTAAGTCACTCAGATTTCTGAAGAGCAGTAAGGAGAAAAAGGAAGAGAAACAATAAAAAGGCATCCCCAGGAAAACCAAAACTTTGAAAATCATGGGAGAAGCTAGCAAGATATCATTCTAAGAAATTGGGTGTTTGGACTGGGAATACTGAAGTTATCATAACGTTGCACTGATTTACAAGTGTAAGTCAAGGTTCTACAGAGCATCTAACAGAATTACATCCAAAATACATAGGTATGAGAATCTAGGGACTAAAACAAATACATGTATGACTCCCCCCCCCCAAAAAAAAAGAAAAGAAAAAAACAAAACAAAAAGACTCAGAAAAAAGAGATTAAAAAAACAAAAACACACAGGTCAAAACCTCTAAGAAAATGTCTAAGAACATCAATTTTGAGGTGAGCATTATACACAACACACCAGGAGAATTAAACACGTACCATGGGACATCAGGTCCTTAGCAGTCAGCCACAACAAAATACAGCCGGACACCACGTCATCTCTGGAAACCTCCATCACAGCAAACTTTCCAAGAAACTTCAGACAATCCTCTGTAGGGTAGAAGACAGAGAAGGGAAGAAAAATTGAGACCTTCTCCTCCTGGTGACACACAATGGGTACCTTGCAATGGGGGGTAAGTAAAATTGCTTTCTCTCTAAGAAGGTGGGCTTCTGTTGTGCCTTATAGGGCCGAGGGTCAGCATGCAGGACAACACAATAGAAGGCAGACCTCAGTCTGCACTACCCATGATTCTGAGAAAAATTATCAAATAGATGTGCATCCCACCAATCATGGGTCCACGAGGGACGGGCATAGGCCTATGGGCCTCCATCCACAGCTTAGCACTTTAAGACCGTCATCGGGAATGACCTCAGATTTCTGGATACCAGGCTTTCATCGAGTATCACTCAAAAGCCACCAGATCTCATCATCGGTCGTGGATTGGGGGCCCCCTCACTCCCTGCACTACCCTGACTGGTGGGTGCACTTTTCCTAGAAGGTTTGGGCAACGCTCTGATCACAGAATAGGAGACTCTTCAGTGTTTGGTCCCCACCAGGTTCCCTTTCAACATAGTCCCAAGATGTAACTATTGGTCTTCACTATAGCAGAGAGCACATCAACCATCAGGCCCTTACCTGGAATGTGCTCCAAAAGGGGGGAAGGCAGGCGGCCTCTCAGTCTTCAGAACTCTGGCTCTCACAGCACACAAATGTGTTGGTGTGGTCTTGATCTCAGCATGCTGGCTGGCACCATCAGTTGGGAGGGCTCCCTGGAGGGTACAGAGCAGAGAAGGGAGAGACAAGGTTGAGAGTCTGTTGGCCATCACTCCACGCCCTATGCTCCACCTAGGCTACAGCTGATTCTTCCATTCACGGGGAGCAATAACTTGATGTCATTGTCAAGGAAACATGGCTGGACCCCTTCTAAGTGATCTGTGCTGTCCTGCTTCTGCTCAGCATATCGCCTCTCTCATCAATCCATAAGGCCGGTGGAAATTCAGGGCCATGATTTACTGCCATGAGGTTTTTCTCCTATTTCCACTCACATTGCCCAACTATCTCTGCTGTCAGCCATGTTTCCCTGGCAAACTAACATGAGTCTGCTCTCCATGATTGGTCCTGGTTGCTCGGCCTGGACCCTCAGAGCACCAAAATTGCCACAAAGAGATTTCTCTGGGCCTGACCTCAGATATCTGTTAACATGGCTGTCATGGAGAAACACTCAGACGCCACCAGATCTCATCATCGGTCCCGTGTTGGGCCGCTCTCTGTGGAGCCTTCGGGATTGGCTCACTCACTGGTCAGTGTGGAGCACTCGGGAGGCCACACGACCCCAGGCCACTCTACTGGGGACACCTGACCACCTGCTCTTCCAACCAGTGGAAAGTTCACTCTGATCTCTACAATGCCTAACCGGGAGGGTTGCAAGGACACCCTGTGTACCTGTCTTCAGGTGCTGATTGGAGGTCAACGCTGGAGCTGTCAGCAACCATGGGCTGTGAACGGACATCATGGCATCCCGGGTATTCTCCACCTCAGCTAACTTCCACAGAAACTTCAGTCATGCTGTGTTGGGTAGAAGACAGAGAAGGGAAGAAATATTGAGACCTTCAACTCCTGGTGACACAATATGTACAAATTGCAATGGGAAGGGCTGTGAACTTGCTTTCTCTCTAATGAGTGGGCTTCTTTTGTGTCTTGATAGGGCCGAAGGGTAGCATGAAGGGCAATATAATACAAGGCAGACCACAGTCTGCACTACTCTTCATTCTAAGAAAGATTATCAAATAGATGTGCAGCAAACGAAATACGAGTCCTCGAGGGATGGGTATAGGCCTATGGGCTGACATCCACAGCTTAGCAGCTTAAGGCAGTCATCGGGAATTATTTAGATTTCTGGATGCCAGGCTTTCATCGAGGCAGTAGCCTTGATTTTAAGAAAAATTATCAAATAGATGTGCATCCCACCAATAATGGGTCCAGGAGGGACGGGCATATGCATATGGGCCTCCATCCACAGCTTAGCACTTTAAGGCAGTCATCGGGAATGACCTCAGATATCTGGATACCAGGCTTTCATCGAGTATCACTCAAAAGCCACCAGATCTCATCATCGGTCGTGGATTGGGGGCCCCCTCACTCCCTGCACTACCCTGACTGGTGGGTGCACTTTTCCTAGAAGGTTTGGGCAATGCTCTCATCACAGAATGGAAGACTCTTCTGTGTTTGGTCCCCACCAGGTTCCCTTTCAACATAGTCCCAAGATGTAACTATTGGTCTTCACTATAGCAGAGAACACATCAACCATCAGGCCCTTACCTGGAATGTGCTCCAAAAGGGGGGAAGGCAGGCGGCCTCTCAGTCTTCAGGACTCTGGCTCTCACAGCACACAAATGTGTTGGTGCGGTCTTGATCTCAGCATGCTGGCAGGCACCATCAGTTGGGAGGGCTCCCTGGAGGGTACAGAGCAGAGAAGGGAGAGACAAGGTTGAGAGTCTGTTGGCCATCACTCCACGCCCTATGCTCCACCTAGGCTACAGCTGATTCTTCCATTCACGGGGAGCAATAACTTGATGTCATTGTCAAGGAAACATGGCTGGACCCCTTCTAAGTGATCTGTGCTGTCCTGCTTCTGCTCAGCATATCGCCTCTCTCATCAATCCATAAGGCCGGTGGAAATTCAGGGCCATGATTTACTACCATGAGGTATTTCTCCTATTCCCACTCATGTTGCCCAACTATCCCTGCTGTCAGCCATGTTTCCCTGGCAAACTGACATGAGTCTGCTCTCCATGATTGGTCCTGGTTGCTCGGCCTGGACTCTCAGAGCACCAAAATTGCCACAAAGAGATTTCTCTGGGCCTGACCTCAGATATCTGTTAACATGGCTGTCATGGAGAAACACTCAGACGCCACCAGATCTCATCATCGGTCCCATGTTGGGCCTCTCTCTCTGGAGCCTTCGGAATTGGCTCACTCACTGGTCAGTGTGGAGCACTCGGGAGGCCACACGACCCCAGCCACTCTACTGCGGACACCTGACCACCTGCTCTTCCAACCAGTGGAAAGTTCCCTATGATCTATACAATGCCTAACCGGGAGGATTGCAAGGACACCCTGTGTACCTGTCTTCAGGTGCTGATAGGAGGTCAAAGCTGGAGCTGTCAGCATCCATGGGCTGTGAACGGACATCATGGCATCCCGGGTATTCTCCACCTCAGCAAACTTCCACAGAAACTTCAGTCACACTGTGTTGGGTAGAAGACAGAGAAGGGAAGAAATATTGAGACCTTCAACTCCTGGTGACACAATATGTGTAAATTGCAATGGGAGGGGCTGTGAACTTGCTTTCTCTCTAATGAGTGGGCTTCTTTTGTGTCTTGATAGGGCCGAAGGGTAGCATGAAGGGCAATATAATACAAGGCAGACCACAGTCTGCACTACGCATGATTCTGAGAAAAATTATCAAAAAAATGTGCAGCCCACCATACTCGGGTCCACAAGGGACGGGCATATGCATATGGGCCTCCATCCACAGCTTAGCACTTTAAGACGGTCATCGGGAATGACCTCAGATTTCTGGATACCAGGCTTTCATCGAGTATCACTCAAAAGCCACCAGATCTCATCATCGGTCGTGGATTGGGGGCCCCCTCACTCCCTGCACTACCCTGACTGGTGGGTGCACTTTTCCTAGAAGGTTTGGGCAATGCTCTCATCACAGAATGGAAGACTCTTCTGTGTTTGGTCCCCACCAGGTTCCCTTTCAACATAGTCCCAAGATGTAACTATTGGTCTTCACTATAGCAGAGAACACATCAACCATCAGGCCCTTACCTGGAATGTGCTCCAAAAGGGGGGAAGGCAGGCGGCCTCTCAGTCTTCAGGACTCTGGCTCTCACAGCACACAAATGTGTTGGTGTGGTCTTGATCTCAGCATGCTGGCAGGCACCATAAGTTGGGAGGGCTCCCTGGAGGGTACAGAGCAGAGAAGGGAGAGACAAGGTTGAGAGTCTGTTGGCCATCACTCCACGCCCTATGCTCCACCTAGGCTACAGCTGATTCTTCCATTCACGGGGAGCAATAACTTGATGTCATTGTCAAGGAAACATGGCTGGACCCCTTCTAAGTGATCTGTGCTGTCCTCCTTCTGCTCAGCATATCGCCTCTCTCATCAATCCATAAGGCCGGTGGAAATTCAGGGCCATGATTTACTGCCATGAGGTTTTTCTCCTATTCCCACTCACATTGCCCAACTATCCCTGCTGTCAGCCATGTTTCCCTGGCAAACTGACATGAGTCTGCTCCCCACGATTGGTCCTGGTTGCTCGGCCTGGACCCTCAGAGCACCAAAATTGCCACAAAGAGATTTCTCTGGCCCTGACCTCAGATATCTGTTAACATGGCTGTCATGGAGAAACACTCAGACGCCACCAGATCTCATCATTGGTCCCATGTTGGGCCTCTCTCTCAGGAGCCTTCGGGATTGGCTCACTCACTGGTCAGTGTGGAGCACTCGGGAGGCCACACGACCCCAGCCACTCTACTGCGGACACCTGACCACCTGCTCTTCCAACCAGTGGAAAGTTCCCTATGATCTATACAATGCCTAACCGGGAGGATTGCAAGGACACCCTGTGTACCTGTCTTCAGGTGCTGATAGGAGGTCAAAGCTGGAGCTGTCAGCATCCATGGGCTGTGAACGGACATCATGGCATCCCGGGTATTCTCCACCTCAGCAAACTTCCACAGAAACTTCAGTCACACTGTGTTGGGTAGAAGACAGAGAAGGGAAGAAATATTGAGACCTTCAACTCCTGGTGACACAATATGTGTAAATTGTAATGGGAGGGGCTGTGAACTTGCTTTCTCTCTAATGAGTGGGCTTCTTTTGTGTCTTGATAGGGCCGAAGGGTAGCATGAAGGGCAATATAATACAAGGCAGACCACAGTCTGCACTACGCATGATTCTGAGAAAAATTATCAAATAGATGCGCAGCCCACCATACTCGGGTCCACAAGGGACGGGCATATGCATATGGGCCTCCATCCACAGCTTAGCACTTTAAGGCAGTCATCGGGAATGACCTCAGATTTCTGGATACCAGGCTTTCATCGAGTATCACTCAAAAGCCACCAGATCTCATCATCGGTCGTGGATTGGGGGCCCCCTCACTCCCTGCACTACCCTGACTGGTGGGTGCACTTTTCCTAGAAGGTTTGGGCAATGCTCTCATCACAGAATGGAAGACTCTTCTGTGTTTGGTCCCCACCAGGTTCCCTTTCAACATAGTCCCAAGATGTAACTATTGGTCTTCACTATAGCAGAGAACACATCAACCATCAGGCCCTTACCTGGAATGTGCTCCAAAAGGGGGGAAGGCAGGCGGCCTCTCAGTCTTCAGGACTCTGGCTCTCACAGCACACAAATGTGTTGGTGTGGTCTTGATCTCAGCATGCTGGCTGGCACCATTAGTTGGGAGGGCTCCCTGGAGGGTACAGAGCAGAGAAGGGAGAGACAAGGTTGAGAGTCTGTTGGCCATCACTCCACGCCCTATGCTCCACCTAGGCTACAGCTGATTCTTCCATTCTCGGGGAGCAATAACTTGATGTCATTGTAAGGAAACATGGCTGGACCCCTTCTAAGTGATCTGTGCTGTCCTGCTTCTGCTCAGCATATCGCCTCTCTCATCAATCCATAAGGCCGGTGGAAATTCAGGGCCATGATTTACTGCCATGAGGTTTTTCTCCTATTCCCACTCACATTGCCCAACTATCTCTGCTGTCAGCCATGTTTCCCTGGCAAACTGACATGAGTCTGCTCCCCACGATTGGTCCTGGTTACTCGGCCTGGACCCTCAGAGCACCAAAATTGCCACAAAGAGATTTCTCTGGGCCTGACCTCAGATATCTGTTAACATGGCTGTCATGGAGAAACACTCAGACGCCACCAGATCTCATCATCGGTCCCGTGTTGGGCTGCTCTCTGTGGAGCCTTAGGGATTGGCTCACTCACTGGTCAGTGTGGAGCACTCGGGAGGCCACACGACCCCAGCCACTCTACTGCTGACACCTGACCACCTGCTCTTCCAACCAGTGGAAAGTTCACTCTGATCTCTACAATGCCTAACCGGGAAGGTTGCAAGGACACCCTGTGTACCTGTCTTCAGGTGCTGATTGGAGGTCAGCGCTGGAGCTGTCAGCAAACATGGGCCGTGAACGGACATCATGGCATCCCGGGTATTCTCCACCTCAGCAAACTTCCACAGAAACTTCAGTCACACTGTGTTGGGTAGAAGACAGAGAAGGGAAGAAATATTGAGACCTTCAACTCCTGGTGACACAATATGTATAAATTGCAATGGGAGGGGCTGTGAACTTGCTTTCTCTCTAATGAGTGGGCTTCTTTTGTGTCTTGATAGGGCTGAAGGGAGCATGAAGGGCAACATAATACAAGGCAGACCACAGTCTGCACTACGCATGATTCTGAGAAAAATTATCAAATAGATGTGCAGCCCACCATACTCGGGTCCACAAGGGACGAGCAAAGGCCTATGGGCCTCCATCCACAGCTTAGCACTTTAAGGCAGTCATCGGGAATGACCTCAGATTTCTGGATACCAGGCTTTCATCGAGTATCACTCAAAAGCCACCAGATCTCATCATCGGTCGTGGATTGGGGCCCCCTCACTCCCTGCACTACCCTGACTGGTGGGTGCACTTTTCCTAGAAGGTTTGGGCAATGCTCTCATCACAGAATGGAAGACTCTTCTGTGTTTGGTCCCCACCAGGTTCCCTTTCAACATAGTCCCAAGATGTAACTATTGGTCTTCACTATAGCAGAGAACACATCAACCATCAGGCCCTTACCTGGAATGTGCTCCAAAAGGGGGGAAGGCAGGCGGCCTCTCAGTCTTCAGGACTCTGGCTCTCACAGCACACAAATGTGTTGGTGTGGTCTTGATCTCAGCATGCTGGCAGGCACCATTAGTTGGGAGGGCTCCCTGGAGGGTACAGAGCAGAGAAGGGAGAGACAAGGTTGAGAGTCTGTTGGCCATCACTCCACGCCCTATGCTCCACCTAGGCTACAGCTGATTCTTCCATTCACGGGGAGCAATAACTTGATGTCATTGTAAGGAAACATGGCTGGACCCCTTCTAAGTGATCTGTGCTGTCCTGCTTCTGCTCAGCATATCGCCTCTCTCATCAATCCATAAGGCCGGTGGAAATTCAGGGCCATGATTTACTACCATGAGGTTTTTCTCCTATTCCCACTCACGTTGCCCAACTATCCCTGCTGTCAGCCATGTTTCCCTGGCAAACTGACATGAGTCTGCTCTCCATGATTGGTCCTGGTTGCTCGGCCTGGACTCTCAGAGCACCAAAATTGCCACAAAGAGATTTCTCTGGGCCTGACCTCAGATATCTGTTAACATGGCTGTCATGGAGAAACACTCAGACGCCACCAGATCTCATCATCGGTCCCGTGTTGGGCTGCTCTCTGTGGAGCCTTCGGGATTGGCTCACTCACTGGTCAGTGTGGAGCACTCGGGAGGCCACACGACCCCAGCCACTCTACTGCTGACACCTGACCACCTGCTCTTCCAACCAGTGGAAAGTTCACTCTGATCTCTACAATGCCTAACCGGGAAGGTTGCAAGGACACCCTGTGTACCTGTCTTCAGGTGCTGATTGGAGGTCAGCGCTGGAGCTGTCAGCAAACATGGGCCGTGAACGGACATCATGGCATCCCGGGTATTCTCCACCTCAGCAAACTTCCACAGAAACTTCAGTCACACTGTGTTGGGTAGAAGACAGAGAAGGGAAGAAATATTGAGACCTTCAACTCCTGGTGACACAATATGTATAAATTGCAATGGGAGGGGCTGTGAACTTGCTTTCTCTCTAATGAGTGGGCTTCTTTTGTGTCTTGATAGGGCTGAAGGGAGCATGAAGGGCAATATAATACAAGGCAGACCACAGTCTGCACTACGCATGATTCTGAGAAAAATTATCAAATAGATGTGCAGCCCACCATACTCGGGTCCACAAGGGACGAGCAAAGGCCTATGGGCCTCCATCCACAGCTTAGCACTTTAAGGCAGTCATCGGGAATGACCTCAGATTTCTGGATACCAGGCTTTCATCGAGTATCACTCAAAAGCCACCAGATCTCATCATCGGTCGTGGATTGGGGGCCCCCTCACTCCCTGCACTACCCTGACTGGTGGGTGCACTTTTCCTAGAAGGTTTGGGCAATGCTCTCATCACAGAATGGAAGACTCTTCTGTGTTTGGTCCCCACCAGGTTCCCTTTCAACATAGTCCCAAGATGTAACTATTGGTCTTCACTATAGCAGAGAACACATCAACCATCAGGCCCTTACCTGGAATGTGCTCCAAAAGGGGGGAAGGCAGGCGGCCTCTCAGTCTTCAGGACTCTGGCTCTCACAGCACACAAATGTGTTGGTGTGGTCTTGATCTCAGCATGCTGGCAGGCACCATTAGTTGGGAGGGCTCCCTGAAGGGTACAGAGCAGAGAAGGGAGAGACAAGGTTGAGAGTCTGTTGGCCATCACTCCACGCCCTATGCTCCACCTAGGCTACAGCTGATTCTTCCATTCTCGGGGAGCAATAACTTGATGTCATTGTCAAGGAAACATGGCTGGACCCCTTCTAAGTGATCTGTGCTGTCCTGCTTCTGCTCAGCATATCGCCTCTCTCATCAATCCATAAGGCCGGTGGAAATTCAGGGCCATGATTTACTGCCATGAGGTTTTTCTCCTATTCCCACTCACGTTGCCCAACTATCTCTGCTGTCAGCCATGTTTCCCTGGCAAATTGACATGAGTCTGCATCCCCAATTGGTCCTGGTTGCTCGACCTGGACTCTCAGAGCACCAAGTTGCCATAAAGAGATTTCTCTGGGCCTGACCTCAGATATCTGTTAACATGGCTGTCATGGAGAAACACTCAGACGCCACCAGATCTCATCATCGGTCCCGTGTTGGGCCGCTCTCTGTGGAGCCTTAGGGATTGGCTCACTCACTGGTCAGTGTGGAGCACTCGGGAGGCTACACAACCCCAGGCCACTCTGCTGGGGACACCTGACCACCTGCTCTTCCAACCAGTGGAAATCCCTATGATCTCTACAATGCCTAACCGGGAGGTTTGCAAGGACACCCTGTGTACCTGTCTTCAGGTGCTGATTGGAGGTCAACGCTGGAGCTGTCAGCAAACATGGGCTGTGAACGGACATCATGGCATCCCGGGTATTCTCCACCTCAGCAAACTTCCACAGAAACTTCAGTCATGCTGTGTTGAGTAGAAGACAGAGAAGGGAAGAAATATTGAGACCTTCTCCTCCTGGTGACACACAATATGCACCTTGCTATTGGGGGCTGTATACTGACTCTCAGAGCACCTAAGTATTCCCAAAATGATTTATTTGCATCTATGTTCAGATATATGTTCACTTGGCTGTAAGGGAGAAACACTCAGATGCCCTGAGATCTCATCATAAGTCCTGTGTTGAGCTGCTCTCTCTGGAGCTCTGCTTATTTGTTCAGTCAGTGGTCCGGTTGGATCATTTTAGAGTTCACACTAGAGTAGATTACTGAGATCTGGCACTCTCCCCCTCCAGTTTTTCTACCAATGGAAATTTAACTATGTTTTCTCCTTTGCTTAACTCTTTGGGGTTTTAATAATTCTTCTCTTCCTGTTTCAGTTGGTGTCCTCAGGTGTCATCTGTCATGAAGACTGGGTTTACTTCTGTGTTCTCTTGACATATTAACTTTTCTTCTACCTGTGCTTTTAGGCCATCTGTATTATAGAAATTACAACATCCATTGTAAATAATTATAGTTTCCTCTTTAATGGCCCTCATGATTCTCTTTTATTTTGTGTTGTGTGGCTTTTTGTTGTTTTGTTTTGTTTCATGTCAATGCTGCATGTCTTCTAATCAAGAGATCATTGGATTTGAATCTGAGGCAGAAACCTGCTTAATCCTTTTCTCTGGCTACCCCGTAGAAAGATGGTCTCTTATTTCTGTACTTGAAATCGTTGTAGCGTTTTGTTTCTCTAGCCATCCTTTTGTACTTTGGTCACATCATTTCAGCTACCTCAGCCAATTCTACGCATGCAGTCTCTTAACTTTAGGTAATGTCAGTTTCATGAACCAAAGATTCACAAGTGGTGGTCCTTTCCTCCGTGGGCCAGCGTCTGTAACACTGCAGGCTGCCACAGTCCCTAGCCTTCATCCTCCACCTTCCTTTATCCATCAATCATCAATCAATTGCCACCATCACAAGTCATAGCTCTCAGAGTGAGCCGTTTTCTCTCCTACCTACATTGAACCATTCATTACTTGTATGATGAAGTGATTTATCACCAATGTATTACAATGTATGTTAATTAGCCTCCAAACTGTAAAGCTTTAATGAATCAGAGATGCTGTTTCTTCGATATTAAAGACAGTTTGCCTTTTATAGTCAGCATCCATTTCTACTGCCAGAATCATATTAACAGTGGGTTGATTGGAAATCTAATTTCATGATACTTGTGTAGCTCCTGCAGGAGAGCCTTGCTATTTTTGCCTGTCTCCAGCTCTTCATAGTACTGTCACTGCAGGCTGCTCTGAATGAACAAACGTGGCCATCCATATGAAAACATTTCTTAACTTGTATAGACAACATTAATGTACCCCTCCATTTTCTTCTCCTGCTATCTCACATTGAGCTATTTAGTTGTTATAGCATAATTTAGAAATTATTCATATTATCTTTTATAAATTCACTACTGCAAGCTAACCAAGAAGATAGGCATTATCTGTAATTTACCCTATCCCATGTTTACACAAAATTATGACTACATGACCCTTGCTTCTTTTTGAAAATAATAATGGGGCAATTTTGCTCATTCCTCCTGTTTATAATTGGATGAATCTTCCTTCTTTCCTTTTTTCTGTTTTTATTTTTTGCTGAAATAGGAGAACATGTAATGCACATCTGCCACTCGTTGGACCTTCGTGACTAATGCATGAGTATCACCCTGGAATATCAATTCTGTTCATCATCAATACATTCCCTTTAATTTTGACTATTTATTTGATCATTTATTCACTAATAAGAGTGGAAAGCTCTATCATCCTTCCAAATACTGAAAGAAGCTGGAAGCTTCTCTTGTACGAAGAAAAACTCACACCAATTCTCCTTCAGTGATGAGCCTTGGTTTAACAAACATGCCCAATTAATGTTCTAATTCATGATAATTTAATTTGTTTCATTGATCACATTTGACCTAATGAAATCATATTTCACATTAATTTTTATGTGCTTATTTATCTGCGTTAGGGAAGAGCACTGTGGAAATAGTAGAACTTTAGGGTTCTATGTGTCCAGCTGAGGATTCTGGGCTGACCCATCTCATTACTCCATACTTCTCACTGTTAAATAATACAGTGAATAACTTTCCACAAACCACCCAAATCATGTCAATACTATCATCTGGCACTCACTTTGGCTCTAAGCTCTAAACACAGATAAGCAACCGGTCTGCTGGTGACCATGGAAGATGGTGTGATCCCCTTAAGAATGCAACAAATGTGCAGAGACTGAAACTGCACGCTCTTCCCTAAGTTTGATTATCTGCTTTTATTTGTGTTGGGCCTCCAAGTTCCAGACAACTGGTTCTATCATCTGACACTCAGATGTTCAGAGAATCATCGGTCAGTTCGCTTAAATCCCATTTTGCTTATTTCTATTCATTTGACTGCTTTATCCTAGATAATCATAGAATGTTTGTGTTTTGTATTTATCTGTCAATTTATAGGTTGTGGAATTCAAATTAAACAGATCCATATGGTGCATAGTAGTGACATGAATTGTTCATTGGTCCAATTATAATAATATCATGAGTATATGCACATGGAGAATATGTGTCCCTTCACAGATGGACACCTATTTGTTACGGAAACATATTCATTGATTATGACTCATATGCCACCCATTCTCACCATCAATCAAGGACTGGACTGATTTTTCTCTGTCATTTCTACTTTGTCTATTCACTTAATCACTAAACTTATCTTACAAAGAATATCCTCACATCAGCGTGTTTGCTTCCATAATAAATCTGTTTTCTGCACGTGTGTGACTCGATTTGCTACTTCATATGAATTGTAGGTATTACACATGTGGTGAGATTTCACACTATTTGGTCATGCAAAGAATAACATTCAATGCCATCCATACAATGAAAAATTTAGCTACAACTTATACATGTCCCAAGATCTAACCTAGAGATATCCCCCCAGGGGTAGTAATTCTGGGGAGAACAGTACAGAACAAATGACCCTCTCTGCCACAGATCCTTGCTTATGCATTTATCATTTATGTTGGACCTCAGAGTTTCATTCGCATGTCATTCGTCATCTGAGACTCATATACTAGCAGTTATGATCACTGATCCGGGGACAGGCCAATCTCTCTTCATTCTTATCTACAGTATGTGGTTAGTAATCCATTAATTCACTAGTGATGCCTCTTGAAGACACACACAGACACACAAACATATGAAGAATTGCTATTTGGAATATAATATCTACTAAGGTTGGATTTTCATTATGTCAGTTATTCAGTTGAAATATTAATCATAGTCCCAAAATGAGTGCACTAGAACTATTTCTGAATGTTTTTAAAAACAGAGTAAACAGTCCAAGGAAAACAATACAAGATTACTCACTCTGATTTCCAGAATCCAGTGAGAAATAAAACTACTGAGCACCAACCATGGAGAATTCCAACCGCAGCTCAGACGATTCCATTGGGAAGAGCATAGAGCAGAGCATATAAACAGAAAGAAAATGGAAAGCTGTGACATTCTTTTCACAGAGGTTTGATTGTTAGCATTGCTTTCTGAATTGATTTATTCACTCATTAATTTAATGATGCATGCTTTTACCTTAACAAAATATATATAAATAATTTAATTTAGAAACAAATTTAAACTAACCCCACATAAAGATGATAAATAATGCTTGAACATCTAATGTCTATGGTAGCTAAGGATGGATGCCTAATAGTTATACTTATTGCCCACTGTAATTTACTGCTTTGACAACAACATATCAAAGTACTCCTGATGCACTTCATGTTTGTATTTAATTAGTACATCAGTAATTATAGTTCTACTGCTTAATTCAATGTCAGAATCGACATATATCCACATAGGTGCCAGCCTCATGGTCCTTAGATATTCCTGCATGTTTAGAGCAGTGGTTGTCAACCTTCATAATGCTGCAACCCTTTAGTTCAGTTCCTGATGTTGTGCTGACCCTAATTGTACAACAATTTTCATACTTCAGAACTGTAACTTAGTTACTGTTATGAATCCTATTGCAAATATCTGATATGCAGGATATTTGATATGTGCCTCCAAAGGGGGTTGTGACCCACAGGTTGAAAACCATTGTGCTAAGGCATTTCCAGGCATGTCAGATATGTGAGCAATGTGATAGAGTCATTCAATCCCCAAAGGATTCATGACCCACAGGATGGTCTAGGGGATGTCTTCTACAGAGAAAATGGATTATTCCGCATTTTAGTTTTCTATTAGAGTCCAGATACATTTCATGCAATATGTAAGGCCCACTCTCAGCACTTGTTATCATCATTGGTTCATGTTTTGGCCTGTTATTTTTTATTTGAATTTACTTTATTTGAGGTTATTAATTAAAACAAATCAATAAAGTATCCTGATTCACACAAATGAACATAGTGCTTGACAGGCTAACATCTGTCTGTAGAGTCCTATTCACTTGAGACTTATCTTTCATCAACTGGCCTCAGTGTAGCAGTGATCAATTAGGAAACACAACAAGTGACTAGTTAATTTTTATTCAGATAACCCATCCCCCATCCCTGTATCTATCATATTTCTTTATCCACTCATCAGCTAATGGTTACTCAAATCTATCCCATCTTGGCACCTATAGCTAGCTGCAGGGAAAAAGGAAGGGCAGGCATCTCTTTGACACAAATGCATCATTTTCTTTCCATCCAGACCTACTAGTTGGTTAGATTATCTGGCAATTCTATGGGTTTTTTGTTTGTTTGTTTTTGTTTTGTTTTGTTTTTGAGGAATTGCCAAGCTGTTTTCTATGATGTTCTATAAATTCATATTCCCATTGAGAGTGCACAAAGGAAGCACTCTATTGACCTGTTGGCTAGTTATTGTTATTGTTATCACTAGACTTTCTTGATAATAGTTTTCCTTACTGGAGTCATGGGGCATCTTGCTGTGGTTTTGATATGCATTTCTCTGGTGATTGATCACAAGGAACATACTTTCATAGACTTCTGGGAAATTTGTGTGCCTCTTATGTCTATTGATCATGATTTACTGTTTGTGGTTTTAGCTATTGGGTTTTGGACTCCTTATTTATCCTAGATATAAGAAATGTCATAGGTACTTTTGGCCATGAAGGAGAATGGCATGCTATGATTTTTAGGGATACAGATGGAACTGGAGATATCAGGTTGAAGGAAATAGGTCAGGCACAGAAAGACAAACAAACGAAGAGTGTGGGACATGAAGAGTTCATCTACTGGGACATGAGACTGAAGTGATGGTTATAGGACAATTTAGTGGGGGAAGAAAATGCAGAAAAGTTGCTGTTACAGTTCCATGACCTTCAGAAATTCTGGGGTGTTATGTATTGTGGAGAAAGTCAAGATAATAGTTTCTTAATAAATTAAAGGGATAGGAAAAAAAGATAGTGGAATTTTTGGATAATGAGCAAATTATTATGAGTGGGTGGATATGGTTAACCCGAATGGAGAATTACACTAGGTAAGCATGTATAAAGAGACCTTAAGGAATCACTTTGATCAAAACCATTTCTGGTTGGTATTAGATAAAGTGAGGGAAAACAAAGATGGCATCATCAAGTTACTGCATTTCTCTTCTGCCCTGCCCCCATTTACTGTTAAAACCAGTAATCATGGTTATTTCATTGTCTGCTCCTTTAAAAAAAAGCAATACTTAACATAACACCTTTAGCCCATTAACCAAGGAGAATAAGAAGGTTGGCTGTTACTCACAGTGCAAGCACACGACACCACAGGGATGTCGATGAAGGGATGTGCTTCCCAGCTCAGCGCCTCCATCTGAGGAGTACAAAGCAGAGACAGAGGGAACTTGGACATGTGCTCTTCACTGACTCATATTTCTACCATGCTTTAGCATAGCCTTCAACATTTTTACTGCAAATATATCTACTCATTTTCTTCTTCAAGAACTTCAAATTTATAACTAACACACTGCATTGATTGACAATTTCTTGTCTACAGCATTTTTATTCCAAAACTGTAATACACTTGATCAGTGTCTGCTCTATCAGTCATGGTGACAGATGAGTGAAATAACAGCCCTTGACTGGCATACACAACAGGCCTTGGGGTTTGAGGCCAGCCTGACCCATATAGGGAGATTTCAACAGAAAAAAACATGTAATACCTATATCCTAATTGTACATGTTAATAATATACAAATTTTTCATTTCTTCATCTCTGACCACCTTAATATTTGCTATTCGATCTTCCTTGCAGATTTATAATAATAAAATGCAAACATGAACCAGTAATGATGGCCTGGGGACAAATGAGGTGGTATCAGATGCTGGATGGGTATCCATTCTCTAATTCCTTCTACCCTTGTGCAGTTTAATTAACCAAGGAAAATATATAAACTACACAATACAAGGACAGCATGCATTAAGGTCCCTAACATTTGTCTACACAATGAACCTGTCAACCACATTTTTTTTGTTACTGTCCTCATTTTTTAATGTATGGAATAATCTAAATGCTTCTATTAACCTGATATTATGGATACTATGATTTGATTCCTTTGATTTATTTAAATAAAATATCCTTTCCTAAAATACAGCAAAAAAAACACACATTAAAACTACTGTTCATTATGAACAGTATGGACACAAGCAACAAAGAGCAGAGCAGAGCAGAGGATGAAAAATTACATTCGCTTCTCCAATCCCTGCTTATCTGTTTATCCATTGTCATAGACCTCGGAGTCCTAGACACATGCCATTCATCATCTGCAACTTATTCGCTGACAGTTCTCATCATTGGTCCAGGGAAGGCCCAACATCCCTTCATTTATATTTCTATATTGTGCATTGACTAATCTATTAAGTCATTAATAATATTCTAAAAGACTATGATTAGAAAAATCCAATAAGAACATAGCTGTTGTAACCCAGAATGATGCCTGGGTCCATATATATATATTTATATCTTCAGTTAATTATCCTTAACTCATCATATACTAATCAGGCTCATTATTCCTTTTAATATAAAATGCAAAATGGCTTAAATTGGTCATACATGACTATACCACAAAAATTTTAAAATACAGTGGATTCCCCCTAAATAAACCACCCAATAAAAAGATAGGAATTATAAATAATACTTACATCATCCTCAGGGTTCCTGGCAGAGATGGACCATGAAGAACTTTACATGGAGAATCCCATTGGCTCACACAGGCCTACAGGGAAGAGAAGGCAAAGAACACATGATTAAACAAAAATATAAGAAAACAAAAACTGAGATATTCTCCCATTGGCCCTTAACTTTGGTTTAGAGGGCTAATCCTCAACCTTCTGATAGTGTGCCCCTTTAATACAGTTCCTCATGTGTGGTGAACCTAACCATAAAATTATTTTCCTTGCTAATTCATAGCTGCAACTTTGCTACTGTTAGGAATTGGAATGTAAATACTTGCTATGCAGGATACCTGATGTGTGACCCTTGTAAAAAGGCTGTATCAGTGGTTCACAGTCATTTATACACCCATTAACTTAACAGTATAAGGTTTTGTTTTTTCCCTCTTAAGAGAGTTTTAAATTTCCCACATACTGATAACACTGACTTTACCATATAAACTCTGAAATACCATTAGCCTAAGAAGGACTAGTAAGGGAGTCGGACATTTGAATCAGGATCTTACTGTTTTCTTGACACATTATAATGTTCCAAGTCATGTATTTTGTAGATAGACGGTATTTCATTAACTGAGTGATTGATGTTCTCATTCATCTAATTCTGACACAAAGGCCAGGACCAAGAGCCTTGGATATTGCCAAGTCTGTCCTAAAGACGCCTAATGATGAGACAATGAACTCTATTTCTTTTGTATTAGACTCTAGAGTGCAGGCATATTTATTCACCAAACAAGACTCATTTGACAGGAGAATTATCACTGGCTCATGTTTGCCTTTTTAATTATAACATTTCTATTTTTATTCTAAGCTATTAATTAAAGTAAATCAATAAACATGATTCATAAGCTCAGAATATGACGCCTGGCTCGTCTGACCTCTCTGTCTTTCCAAGGGGACTAACTTCCACTGTTCATTTTAAATCAAATTATTTATTGTCTCTCTGATGGGGATTTTTTTCTCTTCAGTTTTCTACATTACTATGGATTTTCAAATATATATATATATATATATATATATATATATATATATACACATATCCAACACCCTGCTCCCTCTGGGATGACCCCTGTGTCTCTCTCAACTTTATAGCCTCATATAACATATGGAGTCTAAAATTACCCGAATGTGTGTGAGTCTGAATCCAGCCACTGGAGCATGGTCAAGCAACTAGCTATTAAGCCGTTGTCAGATTCTATTTAGACACAAATTAATTTTTTTAAAAAAGTAATTGACATTGTGGATGGAGCAAAAGACATTGCCGTAAAGAGAAATAATTCATACACAGAAGGACAAGTAGTACATGAACTCATTCATGTTGAAAACTGACCTCAGGGAAGTTGGGAGTTGAATGGTAGTTACCAGAGACACGAGAGGTTATAGGAAGGCAGAGGTGGTAAAGTAGAGTCAGTTGATGCTGAGTCACTGTTAGATGGCTTTGGTGTGGTATACATAGGAAGGTGACTTTAAGTGACAACCAGATTACTCCTCTTTCTCTATTTCACATCTGTTTGTTGATTAATTCATAGAGTAAAAAATAAATGTAATAAAATATAGATCCCTGAACTAAAATGTTCCTACATAATTGCTTCCAGAGAGTTCAGATGTAATGCATAACCTAGGCTTGGTGGTTCATACACAAAAGGCTCCCCAAATAGAATATCAGTCTAATGTTTACCATAGGCACATTTTCGCTTCTCTGGATACTTTAATTCTCTTTAGAAGTCAAAACAGTCACAGCATATTATTATGCACCATTTTCATGCTTCTGACACATGCGTGTAACCATGGAGCTCTAGACCATGGAAAGATGTGTCCCCTGGCTCAGAGCATCCAGGCCCAGGACATCAAAGAAAAACAGCTCATTAAAAAGATGGGCTAATCTATTTTCGTTTTGCTTATCATTCTTCCCTCAGCTGGTTATTTAGGAAGTCATTATTTGGAGGCTCTTTATGCTACTTGCCTTGACCCAGACGTTGACTATTATCCATTAATTATGCTGTCTACCTCATCTCTAGCCGAAGACGATATGAAAGCACAAAAGTTATTTCTATCCAGGCAACAATGCTTTCAAACTGACAGGATGGAAATAAACGAACATGCAAACTGAAAGCAAATACATCCCATTTTACTGGCACATTTATTTCAAACATAGAAAATTGGGCACAAAGCTGGGCCCATTGTCCATGATCATCAGTGATCCAGGACAGAGTCTGCTTTTCTATATTCATTTCTACTTTTCATATTAATCAACTAATGGAAAAACTTCTTCATGTTTCATTATGTAATTAAAGTGCAAATTTGGCTATTGACTTTTTTGTAATAACAATCAAAATTCATGAAGCACAGACCTCTAAAGAACATGACCTTTTGTGATAGCTGGTGTCTCCACAGGAACAGTCCCAGCAAAGCTAAGACAACAGATCTGTCTCTGAACTAAGCCAGAGTTTCGGGGATGAATTATTCATCACACATGATGAGTTCATGAGGTCATCTTCTTGGGTCAGGACTTCAACTCATCCTCTCCCTTTACTACATTTATTTGCTACTTTTCCAATTAGTTAACAATAATAAATACCTGCGTTCCACTATAGTCAATTTACTGTTGCATAAGAACTATCTATATGGAGTCATTTCACACACAAGTATGTGTTTCAAGAATCAATCTCAGTATTTAAATGTCCACTGAAGAACAGATATTGTATTGATCCCTTAGCAACTTCTGGCTGAATTTCTTGACCACATAAATGCATTTCCAAAACAACTGGGTGGATGTTTTTAACAAAAACTAATGCTAAAAAAAATGCCCTATCACTGATTTTCATCTCTGAGTTCTTAGCACCTAGATTTTGAAACCATGCTTTCGTTAGCTCATTGCATTTATGCAATGAGGCCAATAAAATATTGAAATGTGCCAGGTGTAGTGGCACTTAACCCCAGCAGTCAGGAAGCAAATGTAAGTGGACCTCTGTGAGGTCAAGGAAGTCTGGTCTACATACCAAGTTCCAGGATTACACAGTGAGACCCTCTCTCAAAACAACAACAACAATTTTTTAAAAGCTACCTATTTACAGAGCATTCCATTAGTGCATGCCTTTTAAATTCCGTTTTCTTAGTCACTTTTGTATTTTTTACTTTTTAGTATGGTTTCTCTCTCTCTCTCGCTCTCGGTTTTGTTTGTTGTTGTTGTTTTTCTTAAGCATATGAATACTTGACCACATCATTGACCCAAAGTAAGAACCCTGACTGTTCCATGTCATTATCCAACCCACTTTCCTATATCCCAATCCACTTCATGCTTGGTGAGCTTCAAGGAGCCTAAGACACATTGATAGTGATCTTGCCTCACCAAATGCTCTCAGGCTAACACAGACCTTCTCTTGACTTTAAACACAGCCTTGTTTGCTCTTTCATTTGCTGATTTTTAATAACAAAATCAAACCTCTGATGCCACAAAGACTGAGAGGATGATCCTTGAATATTACTAAAATCTGTGTGCTCATCCCTACAAAGACAAACATGCAAATCCCCGCTCGCAACAGACCTCAGAAGGTCATGGGCGCTTTGGTCATAAAAAAAATTGGGAGGCAATGCGCTCCACATCCTGGGTCCTCCTCCCTTGCTCTTCCCTGCTTAATGTGTGTGTGTTCTTCCAATGTACAGCACAAACCACCAGCAACTCTCTGATACTGAGCATCATTTACATATCTGTACTCCTGAGTCACAATAAAAGTACTGCACACATCTATTCCTAAAGGAGTATTTAGAGAGTACATCCAATTTTTTACACACATGCACAAACACACACATATACACTCACTCAAGACATGAAAGTAAAAGGGGGGCCAAATAGGAAAAGGAAGGGATCAGAGGAATAACAAATGCTAATTGGGGCATGAATGTGGTCAAAGTACTTTATATACATACGTCAAACTGCCAAAATGGAGTGCACTGCTCTACCATGTACAATTAATGTATATTAACAGGAAGTTGGGGGATAGAAAATTACTTTTTGGAGGGGTGGGTTGGCCACCAGCAGATTGTCCACGCTCCAGTGGACGACCCTATACCTAGATAGGTGTATCTGGGAAATACCATTTTGACTATATGACTTAAGAAACTAAAAATTTAAAAATATCTAAAGGGATAAAATAAGTAGAGAGATGTGTTTAGGAATCCGGGAGCAGATAGGACAAAGATGCATTGTATACATATATGAAATTTTTAGAATTGTGCTAACATTTAAATGTATCATAAGAGTTGACCCTATGTTGTTCAAACAGGCTTGGTTTTCTCAACATTGGTTATAAGCGCAGACACTTCCATTTTTTAACTATTGAGTGAACGCATCTGGAAATCCAAAGAAGGAAAAGCGTGGCTGTCTTCGTGACATCATCCATCCTATCATTTTGCCCCCAGGAACTATTTGGGTACATGGTAAAAGGCACAGCATAACCAGCCTATTGACTATATCATCACTGTTTATTTTACTTTGGACCTTTATTCTGTGAGTCATATTGTGCTTAGTATGAATCTATCATAAACTTCAAACATATGAGCCATAGATCTCTTAGGGCATAACTGTGGAATAAATGGGGAAATTTATTTTTTTAAGAAATATTTTATAATTTATTTTTAAATTTAAATTTAAATTAGAAACAAGGTTGCTTCACAAGTCAGTTCCAGGGCCCTCTCCCTTTCCCTCCCCTCCTCCCGTGCCCTCCCCTAAACCCCCCAAATATATTTCCCCAGGGAGGGTGGG